TGTAACACTATGACATGCTAGCTGCTGGGTTAGATGAACTCTGACATTTGTTCTGTCCCCTGTAGGAAGGAAGACAGGCATGAGAAAGTGCTAACAGGATCTAAAGAGAAGTGTCTCACATTGTCTAGAGAAGCAGCTCCATCTGTGGTCCTCTATATAAGAAAGGGATTAAGTGACACAAATGGGTTAAGAGACACAGAGGGTTAAGAGCCTTTAAACGGTGAGGTGAGAGACACAATAGGGGGAAAAGGTGGGGTAAGATACAAGATATGAATGAGAGTTAAAGGACCATAAAAAGGGGATATAGATGCCAAGGAAGGAATAAGAATGACAAAAGTGGAATACAATCATCAAAAGCGGGGAACAAATACAAAAAGGGGAAGATGCAGTAAAGCAGGGTGCCCAAAAGGGAGATCCCCAGATGTTGTAGAACTACAACTGCCATGATGCTTTGCGTGCCTTTAGAATGCTTTAGAATGACAAAGCTTCATGGAAGCTGTAGTCCTACATCTAGGGATCTACCTTTTGGGGACCGTTGCAGTGAGAGACAAAAGCAAAAAGTAAGTTAAGAGACGCACAGGCCTACAAAGGTGAAGACTAAGTTTGGAGGGCGGCAACATGCATCATCGCCTGTGTAGCTAAAAATCCTTGCACTGGCCCTGCTTGGCTGTACTGTAAGGCACACAATATAACACGGAGGGTTTATCCATTAAATAATTAGTTGCAATCGAATTAAAAGCCCATTTGCAAAAAATTGTGCAAAACAGCTGATTTGTAAAAATTCTCCAACAGTTTGGTTACAGCTTGGCTATTTTATTCTGAATTTTAAACTTGTTTTAGAATTCCATTCACCACAATTTACTGTTTAGCAATAAGTCCTATGATTTTCACACTTCCCTTTTAAGCTCTTTCTCAGAAAGAATACCGTAGAACAGTGACGGCGAACCTATGGCACGCGTGCCACAGGTGGCACGCCGGGCCCCCTCTGTGGGCACGCGGCCATAGGTTTGATAGAACACCAGTCACCATCAATGCAGAGTAGGCACCTGCCTGACCAAAAAGGCAGGCGCCTACTCTGCTTCCGTGTCGGGAGGACAGGGGGGAGGGCTCTAGGAAGCAGCTCTCCTGTCCTCCCGTGAGCAATCTGTGTGGAGTGTTGCCGCGCGAAACCATGGCAGCGCTCCACACAGCATTCTGCGTGCGGGAGAAGAGAGTTACAGGACCTGTCCCTCCTACCACCACCGGACCACCAGGAATTTCTGTGGCCCCCCTCCTTCACAAAAGGTAAGAGGAAGGGGGGGACACAGATTGTATTATTATTATATATTTATTATATATATTTGCAGCAGCACCCCCACACACACACAGGACCCCTCCACCCCCCCCATACACAGCACCCCTCCACCCCCCCCATACACAGTACCCCCATACACAGCACCCCACACCCCCCATACACAGCACCCCCACACACAGCACCCCTCCACCCCCACACACCCTCCCCATACAGCACCCCTCCACCCTCCATACACTGCACCCCCCACACACACACACACAGCACCCCTACACACACAGCACCCCCACACACAGCACCCCCACACACACAAAGGACCCACACACATGGCTCCCCACACACACACAGCACCCACCCACACACACAGCACCCAGCACCCCATACACACCCCCACCACAAACACACAGCACCCACCACACACATAAACCCCACACACATACACAGCCCACACACAGCACCCCCACACACCCCCCTCCCACCTACACACAGCACCCCACCCCACACACACAGCACCCCCACGCACACACAGCACCCACACACACACAGCACGCCCCCACACACAGCACCCCACACAAACACATTGCACCCAGCACCCCACATACACACCCCCACCACACACACACAACACCCACCACACTCACAGACCCCCTCACACGCACACAGCACCCCCCATACACAGCACCCCCCACGCACACACACAGCACCCCTCAGACACACACAGCACTCCACATACACAGCACACCCACCACACACAGCACCCCTCAGAGACACACAGCACTCCACACACACACGCCGCACCCGTACACACAAACACATACACTGTACCCCTCAATGCAGTATGTGTGTGTGTTTGTGTGTATGTGTGTGTTTGTGTGTATGTATTCAGCAGGCTGTGTGTATGTATTCAGCAGTATGTGTGTACTCAGCAGTCTATCTGTGTGTACTCGGCAGTCTGTGTGTGTGTGTGTGTGTGTGTGTGTGTATGTGTGTATTCAGCAGTCTGTGTGTGTGTATTTAGCGGACTGTGTGTACGTATTCAGCAGTCTGTGTGTATGTTTGTGTGTGCATGTATGCAGCGGACTGTGTGTGTGTCAGTGTGTATGTATTCAGCAGTCTGTGTGTGAATGTGTTCAGCAGTCTGTGTGTATGTATTGCATTTTTTTGGAGATACTAATAAATATAATCCTTATTTTATCTATAATTTACATTTTTATTCCTGTGAGTTGTGTGTAGGCAGGGCCCCAGTGCACTGCTTTGCCCGGGGGCCCATAATGTTGTTAAGGTGGCACTGGTGGGTGGAAGGGATGGAGGGCTGCGAGGGAGCACTGACTTACGTGCTGTTCCAGCACTGCTCCCTCCACTGATGCCACCGGGAGACAGGAAATTACGTCAATCAGGCACCGCCGGAGAGAAGAGGTGATGGTGCTGGGAGAGAGGAGGAGGAGATGCTGGGGGGAGAGGAGGAGGAGATGCTGGGGGAGAGGAGGAGGAGATGCTGGGGGGAGAAAAGAGGAGATGCTGGGGGGAGAAAAGAGGAGATGCTGGGGGAGAAAAGAGGAGATACTGGGGCAGAAAAGAGGAGATACTGGGGGAGGGGAGGAGGAGGAGATGCTGGGGGGGAAAGGAGGAGGAGAATCTGGGAGAAAAGAAGAGGAGAATCTGGGAGAAAGGAAGAGGAGAATCTGAGGGAGAGGGAGAGAAGAATCTGATGGAGAAGAGGAGGAGATTCTGGGGAAGAATTGGTGAGAAGAGGGAGAAGGAGAGAGGAATCTGGGGAGAGGAAGAGAAGAATCTGGGGGAGAGGAGGAGGAGAATCTGGGGGGGAGAAGGGGAGAGGAGGAGGAGAATATGGGGAGAGAAGAAGGAGATGTTGGGGGGAGAAGGGGAGAGGAGGAGGAATAGATGCTGGGGAGAGAGGAGGATATGCTGTGGGTAGAGAAGGGAAGATGCTGGGGGGAGAGAAGAGGAGAATTAGCTCGAACAACTGTATGAGTTGTTTTTATTCTTAACGTAAACCTAAGTATTCAGGTTTAATTGCCGTGTTGGCAGTTTGAGGAAAAAAGTTGGCATGTATTGCAATTTGGGCACTCGGGCTCAAAAAGGTTCGCCATCACTGCCATAGAAGGTCATTATCCAGCCTAGGATTGCCAGAATCCTTAAATTAGAGTTGCCTATATAAAGATTCACAGGGACGATCAGATTTATAGAAATACTTTGGGTCCTCTATATTTTCTAGTGACATGTTATGGAGATGGCACAATATTTTGGTGCTCAACTGATGAACATTACAATAAAACACAGAAAAATTGAGATCTGCTTCATGCGAACCACTGATATTCAACCCCTCCACACTTGGTTATGAGGCATAATCTCACCTCCTTCCTACATTAGAAATATATTGCATTACACTATACTAATAATTATCTCACATTACACTGGCCTTTTCTGTAACAAAAGGTCAGCATGTACTTCACATTTGAGGAGAATACTTTGCTCATGTGTTTTTTTTTTAGTTTAAAAAAAAAGCTAAAAACTAAAGTTGCGCCATGTGGAAAATGTGACATCATTTCATTATACTTTGCTGGTGAACGAGGTCAGTGGTTAGTGTTCCAACTGCCTTTATCTTTGACTGATTGTTACACGGCAGGGTCAGCTCATCGCACTAAAATAAATACGATTCCATCAGTTATCAATAAAAATACCCCAGCATATACTTGGAAACTAGTGATTATTGTACTCTTCCTGATTCCATAAATTGATATTATATGCATGCACATTTTGACCAAAGAATAAACAGATGCTGCTTGCTTGATACGCCCAAAAAAAACAAGAATGTGCCGTTGATGCCAGTGGTTTGCATGTCTACCAAAATTTTAAGGACTTGCCAGTCTCACAAGACTAGTGAGACTGGCAAGTTAGACTGATTTGCAAGCCCCAGTGCACATGTTTATTGCCAATCGGCTTTTGGATGAACTAGGAAAATGTAAGAAAATACTTGTGTGTAAGGGATTGCTGTAGAAATTGCCACGCATGTACAGGTATGCTTCACTTTGATTTTACAAACGTGTTTTAAAGCCTTCAATCAAATTTATTTTACGTGTCTTATGAGATACAGGACACGGGGAAATATCTAGGGGTACAGAAGATTTGGGGGATGCACAAAGGTATACATTTTAAACTTTGCTGTCACATGTTGAGGATTAACTATCAGATATTATTTGAGTGAACGTGAAATTGTGCTTCGTTAGCAACCAGAAACATATTAGCGCTGTTACGTATTAAACTGGTTTTACTAAAACTAGGGTTAGGTTGACACGAACGATGACCTCCGATTTAAAGGGACACTATATCTAAACCACTACAGCTTAATGTAATGCCTCTGGTATATATAGTCTGTCCCTGCAGGCTTTTCAAAATAAAACACTGACTTTTTATTTTATTTAGTAATGATCTAGAAAATAAAATCCCCAAATCCTTGTAGGAAACTGATAAAATCCTGGATTTAAATTATATTAGAGCATTAGTTCTATGCTATGTGAGAAATTGACACTAAGATCCAGAACAGGATTTAGATCCTGCTCAGCAAGGGATGATCTGCATTAGCATGAGAAGAAACTCAGGAATGATAGCAGCTGCTACTGACCTAGAGCCAAAGGACTCAGCAATAATATGAGCAAGTGCCATCCTCCCCTGCCCCCCAGTTAATCAGCACCAGCCTAACCTCACATACACAGGCATGGGAAGACAGGACTCAGCTCTACATTGATGCAGTGAGTGTTGGTGGGAGGTCCCTTATGAAGTATTTTACAGAGCTGCACCTCCTTCTCTGAACTATGTTTGGGAGCCAGGATGCAGGACATGGTGAGACTGGCACAGGAACAGGTCCTAAATACTGAGAGAGGGCTCATACTGAACCTGGCAGGAGCAGAGAGGTAAAGGACCACAGAGAGGGGAAACCCTCACACTGCAGCAAATGGTAAGGATATTGACTGTGCTGTTAGCCCTGTTAGAGAGCATGGGAAGGTTACTGAGAGGGATGCAGTGTGGGATACAGGATACTGCATGGAACACACTGATAATGGGCTCCAAGAAGACAACTTGGGCAGTGCTGGTGTGGGAGTAATGGCACAGATCAGACTAAAACAAAAACAGGATGGAACAGTGCCAGGGATGTGAGAAACTCTGGTTTATGATGTGTTTTATTAAGGGATTAAAGAAATAAACACATTATTATTATTATTATGTTGACACATTGTATATATGTAGTTTCATGATTTAAATTCAGATTTACTGTTATATAAATAACAGAGCAGAAATGGGCAGTTTACCATTTACATCTGAGTTCAGGTTCTGCAAAATGAACAGTGCAGTTCTGAGCATTTAACATGGGTTTGTGTCGTCCAATAGCTATTGATACCTCTAATACTAATTTGTTGAAATAAAAAAACATCCCATGTGAGGAGACGTAAGTTTTAGCAAATCTTTGAGTCAGTTTAGTAAAATTTGTGAGTACAGAAAGATTTATTTATGAAATACAGTGATTGTGGTGATTGTCAGCTCTTCTTGCAATGCTCTGCAGTATACAGAGAGGCTATAATTTAATCTGTAGTTAGAAGCCTGCATTGACTCCTAGCTCATGTCTCATGTTTCTGTCAGATTGCATGTTGGCATCTCTGGGATCAAATTCTAAAAGAACAATATTAAAATGACTTTGCCATACTTGGCATTGGCTGAACATAATGTTTATATATTAGTTTGCATTTATACTGAGTGTATTGATGGGTTGCGGTTGCATACATTTCAAATGGGAAAATCCATGATATTTTTTTGATTAAAGTTTTTACTTAGTTGATCAAATAGATATCACACATGGACATGCATAAATACAAGCAATCCATCCATTTAAAATACTAAAGTAATCCTAATCTAGCACATCACTCTAGCCAGGAAGTTCCTGGACCAGTTAAATGAACACTATAGTGCTAGGAATACAAAGCTGTATTCTTCACACTGTAGTGTCCATTTGACCCATCTGCCTTGCTCTCCCCCCCACCACCCACATCACCACCACTGCAGTTAAAGATTTAAACATCCCCGCCTCCTCCAACATCATTGCGAGCAAGAATTTAGCGAGCGTGCGTGTGTGCATGGTGAGAGCTGCACATGCATTAGGCCTTCCCCAAAGAAAAACACTGACACAATGCTTTCCTATTAGGATTTTGAAGTCGCTTGACGTCCTCATGCAAAGCGTGATTCTAATTCAAAGTGATTCTATTGGTTGTCATGTAGACAGACACTGGTAGACAGACACTAGAGGCAGTCTTAACACTGCAATGTGAGTAATGTTTTACATTGCAGTGTAAAAGGGGACAGGGACACTGCACCCAAACCACTTCAATGAGATGATGTTGTCTGGGTGCCTATAGCGTCCCTTTAATGCAAAGACATGGGTAAATGTAACTTTCACCTGCCCGAGATACAGAGTATTGCAGGCATCGCAGGTAAGAATTAAGCAACATTTCACAGAGTACAGGTTTGAATTGTCATGTATTCAAAGTGAATTTCATATTTAAAGGACAACTGTCATCAAATTTTCACATTTAGATTTTTAAAAGTTTATTATAGCAAAATAAACTTATTTCTATTTTTAAGGATGTATGTTGATTTATTCTTTTAGAAAATGTCACTTTTTTCTATCTAGCTGAGCAGCCATGTTGGGTCTGATTCTGCTCAACCTAGCGTGCCTGTTCCTGAAGTTTCACACAAAGTGATCACAGCAGCAGGCAAGCTAGGCTGGTAAGAAAACAGTAGACGAGTCTGACTCAGTATGCCAGCTCAGGAAAATAACAAAGTGACATTTTTCCCCAGAATATCAATATACATAATTTTTAAAATAGAAACATAAAAACATAGAATGTGACGGCAGATAAGAACCATTCGGCCCATCTAGTCTGCCCAATTTTCTAAATACTTTCATTAGTCCCTGGCCTTATCTTATAGTTAGGATAGCCTTATGCCTATCCCACGCATGCTTAAACTCCTTTACTGTGTTAACCTCTACCACTTCAGCTGGAAGGCTATCCCATGCATCCACTACCCTCTCAGTAAAGTAATACTTCCTGATATTATTTTTAAACCTTTGTCCCTCTAATTTAAGACTATGTCCTCTTGTTGTGGTAGTTTTTTCTTTTAAATATAGTCTCCTCCTTTACTGTGTTGATTCCCTTTATATATTTAAATGTTTCTATCATATCCCCCCTGTCTCGTCTTTCCTCCAAGCTATACATGTTAAGATCCTTTAACCTTTCCTGGTAAGTTTTATCCCGCAATCCATGAACCAGTTTAGTAGCCCTTCTCTGAACCCTCTCTAAGGTATCAATATCCTTCTGAAGATACGGTCTCCAGTACTGTGTACAATACTCCAAGTGAGGTCTCACCAGTGTTCTGTACAATGGCATGAGCACTTCCCTCTTTCTACTGCTAATACCTCTCCCAATACAACCAAGCATTCTGCTAGCATTTCCTGCTGCTCTATTACATTGTCTGCCTACCTTTAGCATTAAGTTTTATTAAATGTAATGAACTTTGGGGAAAAAAGTGAACGCTTCATGACTTTTGTCTGTGGCGGCCAAAACAGTCTAATTGGAGGCATAGCTGAATTATTTTAGTTTGGTTACTTTGGCCCTTATATCTGATATCCACTTTGAATTCCCAACAATTCCCTCTTTAGTAAATAACTCCTAGTAGGGTCAAAGGTTAGCTGTAAGTCTGGAAACAACTTTAAAGGGACACTATAGTCACCCAGACCATTTCAGCTCAATGAAGTGGTCTGGGTGCAATGTCCCTCAGGTTTTAACCCTTCAGATGCAAACATAGCAGTTTCAGAGAAACTGCTATGTTTACATTTGGGGTTCAGCCAGCCTCTAGTGGCTGTCTTCCGGACAGCCACTAGAGGCGCATCTGCGACGCTGGAGGCATATTATGCCTCCATCGCGCAGAGCGTCAATAGGAAAGCATTGAAAAATGCTTTCCTATTGACAGCGTGAATGCACGCGCGGCACTTGCCACGCATGCGCATTTGGCTCCGCTGACGTCGGCAGTGGGAGCTGACGTCTGCGGGGGAGGAGAGGTCACCAGCACCGAGGGAGCCCGGTGCTGGAATAAGGTAAGCTGCTGAAGGGGTTTTTACCCCTTCAGCGCCACGGGAGGGGGACGTTTTGTTTTCCTGACACTATAGTGATCCTTTAATTCTAGAAAATTGTTTTGCGTTGGATGACAGTTCTAGAAAGAAACTGCTGCAGGAAAGTTAAGAAAGGATCCTGATATATGGAACAGTCAATCTAGACAACATTAAATAATTAAAGACATATTGAATCTTATCCTGGGAACGCCAAAATGGAATTTGAAATGGTATCTATGCTGTCATAAACTGCTTGCATGATAGGACTGAACCTAGATAATAAATGAGGTTGCCTAGGTGCAGGGACCAGTAATCTTAGTATCGGAAGTCACCTCAGGAACATCCAGGTCAAGACCTAGAACCCTCAGAATCCAGGCCAGATGGAAAAATAAGGGAATGAAGTGCATCAGCCTTAGTAATTAACAGAGTTCTAGTTGGACTTTTATACTGGAATACAATCGAAAAGAATACATAATTTGACTGAGAAGCACTGCCTGAACTGTTCTGCAACTAGAAGAATATGCTGGCGTTTTATGGGACTTTTGGGATTTGAAGCAGCCTGTAGAGTGGTAGAGGATGTTCTGAAAGGTCTGCTTGGATGCAGGGTTATTGTGGTCTTCTTTCTCTGCTTTGATGCCCCTTCCCAGTGTAGGCATCTGCCCCATTCACTGTAGAAATGTCAACCTAGAATAAATGTGAGATATTCTTTAAAAGGAGCTGTAGGCAACGTACGGCACTCCTGATGTTGTGGATTAAAAATCACGTAATGCTTTTAGAGCCATAATGCTGGCAAGGCATTGGGTGAGGGGGGGAGAGGGGGAAGGCCACAACATCTGGAGTGCCTACGCCTGGGTTAAAGAGTAAATACTGCATTAAAGGTCTAATTTCCAGGCGCCCATAAACTGTAATAATAATTTTAAGTCATCTATTTGGGGCTTCACAATTCAGCATTCAAAATCTAAAATCGTTCCTTCACAGAAAGTTTCCAGAGCAAGGTCTTTATGTAGCACTCTCCTCACATGTAATCAACATGTCTTATATTTAAAAACATACTTTGTTTTGGATCTTGAACGTATTTCTCAAATGCATCAATCACGTGTGAGTACTACGCTATAAACAAACCGTATGCTGCTCGAAGCACTGTCTGCATGGTCGTAATGTTTGTTCACATCGCAAGTGTGTCTAATGATGCATTCACACTGTGCTGCTTGAGGACAATTCCCAGTTGCCCCTGGATGTGGGATACCAGGGAAAAAAACTGCAATGGTGAAACAGGACTCTGAAATCAGGACTGTCTTGCCAAAATCAGGATTGTTAGGAGAATATTTATTGAAGTAGTGAATGTTAAAAAAGATCTGAAAGCAGAACTTGGAAGGTGACATGTCCATTGCATGATCATTCCAGGGGGAGAGGGGGTAAATAGGTTCTATAGGTTTGGGAAATATATCTATCTTTCCTCAGCCATCTTCATATTCAGCTTAGTCTTCACACCCTTATAGCTTCATCTGTCATTTGCCATGTTCCCATAACCCACTGTAAGTGATGGCTGACTGGAAACGGCAGGGAATAAGGTTCCTTGCCGCATTTGACCAAAAATGGTCTCCTACATAAGATTATGTAGTCCATAATTTGTTTGATGGTATTGTTTGACTGGATTGTACCGAAAGTTCAATGAAATTCCACCACTTATGAGAAGCCTAATAATGACATGGCTGCTTTATGGGGGAATTGTCAAGTCACAGGATTTTTTATATTCTGTTTAATTATCGCGTATATTTAACAAATATGTTTTGTGAAGTCTGAAATATAAAATGAAATTTAAAAATTCACATTTATTTCCTGAATATGTTATCCTTCATCTTGGTTCCCTGTAAATCATTGGTGTACATTTTGCCATTCCACTATTAAAAATTTTTAGTGGAAGAGGAAAAACTGAAATTATGTATCTGTCCTCCTTCTCATTGCATTATGTGCCATGGCTGTGCCTGGGCTGAGCTGGTTTGTGATCCTAAATATGTGATATCAATTTTAGATAGGAAATGGATCATTGCACACAAAAAAAGATTTCAAATTCGGTGATTGTTCTGAACCCTTTTTTAAATTTTTTATTTTTTTTAACTTATTTTGATATTTTTCAATAAAACTACATAAGGACTTTTCAAAGTGCCTTCAAATGCTCAAGCTATAATAGAAGGATTTACAGCTACAGCTTATTGTATTTGTTCTGGTGAGTATACTCATTCCCTTCAGGCTTTTTGCAGTAAACACTGTCTTTTCAGACAAAATGCAGTGTTTACAGCCTAGGGATAACTCCAATGGCCACTCCTCAGATGGCTACTAGAGGTGCTTCATGGGGCAGTGCTGCACACTGTGCAGTACTGCCATTCAGTGTCTCCGCCCTCTACATGGAGACACATAACTTTCCTCATAGAGATGCATTGGTTCAAGCATGAGAAGATGCTGATTGGCCAGACTGTGTGTGGCTTGTGTTGGCACTGCCCCGGATCTGCCTCCTTGACAGTCTCAGCCAACCCTATGGGGAAGCATTGTGGCTGGCTCAGAGAATCACAACTGATGATGTCAACCAAGCAGGCAGATCAGGGACAGAGCCAGCAGCTGCAGACTTGAAAAAGTAAGATTTTACTATATTTAGGGAGGGTAAGGGGTTAGATGGTGTATTTAACACTATAGGGTCAGGAATACATGTTTGTGTTCCTGACCCTATAGTGTTCCTTTAATGTAGTTGTTCTGTTGTGTATAGCCTGTCAATGCAGGCTTTAAGAGAAAAGGCAGTGTTTACATTGCTGCTTAGGGACACCTCTAGTGGCAGTCACTCAAGGTGCTTTCTGGATCTATGCAGCAATGAAATTCAGCATCTCCAAACTCTGCATGGAGGCACTGAACTTTCCACGTAAAGATGCGTTGAGTCAAAAAAACATAAAATGAGCAATACATCCACCATGTGTTGCCCCTTTAAGATGTTTCAGAACTCTTCATTGAGAGAAAGAGACAGTTTGTGCAGGTTTGATTGTGCAGGCAAATTATGTAACTGCACTGAAATGCTCCTTAGCTGTTTTATGTTGAACCCATTGCAATGCTTTATTTCCCATAAACAATCAAAAACCAAAAATATTTTTTTTTACGAGAAAGCAATCAGTGCAGGCTTTTAAGACTTTTTATAATTTGTTTCATTGAAATACTTAACGGACGGTTTCACACATAAGAAGAATTTGTGATCGTTCTCAGTTCTACATGCATTGCAGCAGTGGTAGCTGTGCTTGTTCCGTTGCTGCAGAGAATACTGCAGAATTTTGCATCCAGACGTAGATTCCAGGCGCTTGGAATTTTTATATGCATTGAAGAAAACCTCTAACTGCTAGGGCGCAGAGAGACAAACTGATACTTAAACAGAGATCCTGAATAAGTCAGGTAAAGGGAATATAGTGTTACATGAGCATTCTCAGTACTATAACCACTACATCACTGCATACTTTATTACCCTAAACTGTCACTGGTTCATGACTCCCTTGTACTTGTTTAACTGCAGCATTAATACTGCAGCATTCTGGGTTTGGCTTTAAATTCTGGAAGGTTAAATCACTGATACAGGTAAAGAAAATCCTCAAACAGCGAGGTCGAACAGAGTTGTCCCATTCTTTGGAACAAGAGAAAACAATCACTGACAATTGAGAAAGGCTAGATACACATCACGTAATATTATTGTTATTATTCACAAAGCACCAACAAATTCTGTAGCGCTGTACAATATACCACAACATTGCAGATATTTATAGAAATCTTAGTATTATAGTTGCAGCATTACAAATAAAATACTGGATTTTTAGATACAAAAAAAAACCTATTAAAATATATCAGTAACAATACATTTGTTAAGACAAATCTATTCCATGCTAAGTCAGCAAATATTAAAAAGTCACATCCGTGAGGTTCCCAGTAAATGCATTGACATGTCAGACACATGGTATAGGTATAATGTCATGCATTGTAGCAGAAATGGGTGCATGACATGGGTTGTACATTTAGTCATCCCGGGTGGAAGTGACACATGTCCAAACACTTGCTGAGAGTTACTGGGACTTGTAGCTATGGCAACTGAAACCTCATACTACACAAAGAGGATTATGGGATTTTCTGTGTCTGTACTGCTCATTTGCATTGGGTATTTAGATACATTACAGTCTTTACTGATAACGGATGCATGCTTAGAATAAAATATAGTGTCGCAGTTGAGTAACAGTCCAGACTGCAGGAGACTAGGTAGACTATGTATAACAAAAAAAATTAACAAAAAAGAGACAAAGGAAAACCTATTAATGACATTCCAGCACTTGCTGCAAATTCCCAATATGTGTATCTCTGCAATGGGTTTTCTTCAGACTAGGCAGACACAGAGCCTGACTCAACCAATCTGAACCTTTGCTTTGCTTTTAACCCCTTAAGGACACATGACACGTGTGACATGTCATGATTCCCTTTTATTCCAGAAGTTTGGTCCTTAAGGGGTTAAAGGGAGCTGAGTATATCCCATAAACCTTTACTTCTGAGTCTGGGAGACATTTATGGGATTATGTCATTTAACACTTAGTAGCAGTTCCGTTCATTAGAAAACATGAAATAAACTGCCACCCAAGCTGCTGGCAGCTACAACTGTTATAAGTTTACTAATAGCTTCCTTCATGGTTTCATAAATGGAGGTGTTGATGCAGCTGCAGCTCTGATATAAGAGACAGCCAATTGCATGGTGTTAAAGCAGAGATATCCATAAACCTGGCATTGCTGTGTGGATTTTTAAACACTTGATAGTCAAAAAAGGGAAGCAGACCAGCCAGCAGTCCCGGATCCAACAAGGCAGTCCTGATACGGAACCCCTACCCCACTGTGTCTGATTTGTTGTTGCAGTGTCCAGAAACTAAACAAAAACAAACATTATGTTCCATCCATGTGACTTGCAATCTGTTCCTCCCTTTGTCTTTTTGCCATCCCTCTGCAAGTGACTTTCCTTCTCTATCTCCAATTTATTTGTTCTATCTCTTTCAACATTGTTTACCCATTCTTTAATTCTCTATGATCCTCATTTCTCCAATGTTTCCTGCTGCCACTTTTTCATGTCTTCTCCTTCACTTCCTATATCTCTATATCTCTACATATATGTCCCTTTTATCGTACCCTCCCATATGCTGTACATTTTTGTATCTGCATGCTTTACTGTGGGGACTATGATACTGTTATATTTGAAACCATTACATTGGTTCTTTCCCTTCACATTGTAAAATACTTAAAAATGTGATAAAAAAAATTGAATACTTGAATTGAGTTTTTCAAATTGAGTTTAAAACCTAAACCTTAAACTGTTTGTGCATGGTATTGCTTATTGAATTTACAGACGGGCTGGTTTTTTCATGGATGCCCCAGTCTCTAAGCACCATATTACTGCAGTGGGAGTTACACTTCTGCAATAGTAATATTAAAGGGGAACTATAGTGCCAGGAAAACAAACTTGATGTAGAAGGGGTTTAAAACCCCTTTGTCACTTACCTGGATCCAGCTCGGCGCTGGTTCGGGTCCTCCTTCCCTCCTTGACAATGGCTGTGCATGCATTAAGATTTCCCCATAGGAGTTTTGGGTGATGCTGGACATCCCATTGCATAGCTTGAGGACATCCAGCATCAGTTAGGAAACCACAAGTTACCTAACAGCCCGGAAGTCCCTCTAGCGGCTGCCTGGTAGACAGTTACCAGAGGTGGAGTTAATCCTTAAAGGTAAGTATTGCAATTTGTTAAAAACTGCTAAAATGACATTTGCAGGATTACAGGACCTCGGACAGTGCACCCAGATCAATTCAATGAGCAGTGGTCAGGGTTTCTATAGTGTCCCTTTAATTGTGTCCAATTTTGGATTGCATTCATTGGCTAAACCATAAGGGATCTACTATACAGTATCTTAGAGACATTTGCACAGTGCCAGTGCATCTAACACTGCAATATTAAATTCAGAGATGAAGTGGTCTGGGTGCCTATAGTGTCCCTATACTCAATATGATGGCCTAATATACCAAGTAATATGTCTTAATGTGCATAGTGGTCCTAACTAGTCTGAGACATTACAGAGAAATATAGCCCTGCCACGCTTAGGACTAAAACAGTTAACTAGGTTAAATTGTTAAAAAACATTAATTGTTTTTGGCATAAGATGTAACCTTGACATATTTTAAAATTGGTTTTAATCAAACATCTGTGTATTCATCTTTATTCAAGGCAGCTTCTATGAAGATATGGTTACTAAAAAAAGCTACAAAATATGGAAAAATCTAAAACTTAACTCAATTCAATCACATTCTATTCATTTAATCAAATGACTTATGTGGATGATTTAATGAAGTAATTTGTGACTTTGCAACAATTACATGTAGTCAGCAGCATGGCCTGTGATGTGACACAATTTTTATAATAGATTGGCTGAGTTTCTCTTTTCTGTATTTTAAAAGGCACATGTCTTTTTGTACCCAGTAGTTTGAAAATGGAATAGAGTTTATTATAATAATTGTAATCAACAATTAAAAATTTGTCACGAGAAGTAGTTCAAGTAACGCTCTAAGCAACATACACAGTGCAGCTCATTACATTGGTTATGGTGCAAGGAATCTGTGAGCATTGGCCTTAGATTGGGTCAAACCAAATTACTAGTCTAACCCATTTCAACATCGTTGGCATAGCATTGCAATCCTAAGGGCTAATGAAGATGTCCTCTTCTGCTTCAGGAGGTATGTAGCAGAGGGACCAAGTTATAGATGATGTGAGAGCCTACCCAAAATTGTGGGGAAGACAGTCTCTTTGCACCATAACTATGAAACTGGGCTATGGATATGGTTAGTTTTCAAATGTCTTACCTTCGTGTTTAAATCCCTTCTTAATCTTGCTCCTCCATACCTCTCCTCACACATCTCCTTCTACACTTCAAATTGTCCTCTCCGGTACCTCAACTCCACCTTTCGTATTCTCTACACCCATGCACCCTTTCAAAATTCTGCTAATTCTCATCTTAGCCTCTTACCACTGGAACAAGCTACCTCCACACATTCATTCTGCCATTTGTAAAGTCACACATCTTGATTGAAGTATTCTCAGTCACTTCCTCACTCATCCCTCACAGCTCAATATATCTGACAGTATCACCCTCAAATTATTCACTGATCCCCAGCAGATTGGCCACAGCCCAGGCATCTTCCTGCCCCTAACATGCAATTCCTCCAAACAAATTCAAATTGATTCCAGGCATATGACCCAACTCAATCTCATCTACAATAAACGCTCTATTTTTCCAATGACAATTTCTCAACTCTGTAGGACTCTGACCAAGGGGCTTTCCTGACGTCTTGCATCTTATCAACATAACTCTTTGTCTCTATTAAATATGGAATTTGCTATCTCACATTCATTGACACATTAACATATGAAGATGAGAGATTCTCAATATCAATGTTATCACAATCACACTGATCAATAGAATATAAACAACTATAAACTCTAGAAAAGATATATTTTAGCATGAATTGAATAAAATGTATCATAGTAAATGTACAAAACCAAAGCAAAGAACATACTGGAAAAACATACAATAACAACAATAAATAGAAGAAATAGAATATAGCCAATTCAAACTGAAACCTAACCCTTAATGATTAGACATTAAAAAAAAATCAGAGACAACATACCAAACAATACAGCCAAAATCTAAGCGAGAGAAGGGTGGACCCCATCGTTTCAGCCGTGAGCCTGACTTGGAATCATAGTCTTGGATTTATAGACTAAATATATATATATATACACACCTGGCCTGGTATGCTTATTAATAAGACTACATCATTCGACTTACAGCAGCTTCCAAAGGAACTTTGGCCTTTTCTTTGTAATGAAGTAGTTCACCTATTCAAAAAAAAGAACTGCAGGTATTCCTGGCTGCCCTTAGAACCCACTACTGGAGGCTTTTTTTCTTTCCCCAAATATATCTAAAGCCTGGTGCGGTACCGAAATTGGTTTATACTAACCAGGGATATTCCCCAATATTCTAGGAGCTATTGATTGCACCCATGTGCCACTAACCAAGCTTAAGAGCACATATACCAAATCACAAACCATTCCATTCTATCAATGACATTAAATGATAGTCACCTTCGAAGTTCCTGCAGATTTATCCTGCAGATTTTTAGAGGGAACGTGCCCTACAAGTATTTGGACCAGAAGGAAGAAGCAGAAGTATCCTTCCGTGATGTCTCAGAGTGAGGGGGAGGCTTATATCTGTAATGAATGATCTTTGCAAATCACTTCAGTCAACCGCTAATTACGCTACCCAAGTGCCTGACATATCTCAGGAGCCGTGGATGAGTTCAATGGCTAGAACTCTAAACTGGATACTAAAATAGTCTCCAAAATGTGTGTGTTTAATTCTGCAAACGTTGTCATGTCCTGATCTACCAATAAAAATATATTTAAAATATATATTTTTTATAAGAGTACACAGAACAGTCAGGCTATATGGATGAAATTGTTTATATTAAAGTCCTATAATACTGAAATAAATGAATATACAGCCATGGGGAAAAGAAAGTACACCCTCTTTGAATTCTATGGTTTTACATATGATGACATAACAACAATTATCAGTTCCTTAGCAGGTCTTAAAATAAGGTAAATAAAACCTCAGATTTTAACTCATGATATATTACACCGTGCCTTGATTTATATAACAAAAGTAAAGCCAAAATGGAGAAAGTACTTTCGCTTTTTCCCATGACTGTAGCTGATTGCCTATGTAGGCCACCTTTAAAAAAAACTAATACTGTATTGATGTGCATTAGGATGCAGCACTCTGGCATTTGACGTGTTAATTGTTTGTTTTGTGGAAGTCAGAAAGAGTGTCTGGTATAGTGTGTCTCTGGGCAGGCGTGATGTCTCCTCTACTCCTGGCTCTGCTGAGCTGCTCTATATATAAGCTGTGAGGGTCCTCTGGGACATTGTGCTTTGGGATGGACAGTAGCAGTGATGAGGCAGGGAGTGAAGGAGAGGAGGAGAGCCAGGTGAGTGCCAGTTTTGTTGAGCAGACATTATGACATCTCTTTTGTCTCTAATAGAAAGCCTCTAGAGCCACCAACACACGTATTTTACAATTCTGATCAGAGAATATCTAGCTCCTGTGCATAGTTCCTTCTACATGTCGTGCAATGCTGCAGACTGTTAGCACCGTGAAACTAAGAATTACACGAGAAGTTAGACCAAGAAATAGTTTTCGGAACAAGATCTTTTGCTGAATCTGTACAACTGCAAGGAATGTTTTTTCCCTGTTTTTTTGGGGGGGTGTTTCATTGTTGCTCTCCGGAGTTTGCAGTTAATATTGCTTATGTGCCTCTAGTGGGTATGTGTGTGTGTGTTATAATATTTGTGTCATAAAACTGACAATAAAAAAATCCACAGAGATTATTTTGTCCTGTACACAGATTTGCATATTTGTATTTTTTTTCCTTTAAAATTAACAAGGAGGGGGGGGACTTTTTGATTCTGCTGACTTGGAACTGTTCTACATATGACATTATATCGTATTACAGGAATCAAAGCAGACAGTAGGGCAGATTACAACACTTTGCTTGTTATAATTAAATATTCTGCTGTTATAGATATCTGTAAAGACAATATTCTCTTTCATTTGTGTGGATGAGTCTTATGTCCCATGTATAATGTTGACACATTTCTTATACCGGTAATGCTTATTTGCATAATTAATTACGTATGTGTGACATAACTGGACACAAAGTCACTGTATGTTTTTTAACATCACACGGAGTGACACAAGAGAAAAATAAAACATTTGGATGGGGGAACATTCCCTAAATTACTAGAAAACTATTTACAATGTGTGTACTATTTCTGACTGTGTGTGTAACCATGTTTAGCATTAAGTATGTATCCAGTTTCTGAGTGTGTGTCTATAGCAGTGCATGTCAACATGTATACTATGTGTGTTTGTGGCAGTGTATGTATACTGTGTCTGATTGTGTATGTAGTCCTGTGTCTTATTTATATTTATATATATATATATATATATAGTATGTATAGCAGTGTGTGTTATTGTGTTCATATTGCCCGAATGAGTGTGTTTATAGCAGTGTGTGTACACATGTCATTGTTTGTATATGTTGTCTAAGTATGTGTGAAGCAGTGTTTGCATACAGTGTCTGAGTGTGTGTCAGTGTGTTTATACTGTGAGTGTGTGCGTCAGTGTTCATTCTCCTACATGCAATTTTCTGGTTGCATTTACTCTTGACGATATGTCGCTGCAAGTCTGTTTGTTTATCAGTGCACTACAAAAATAAAGAATTTATAACATCAACAACAAAATAACCTTCATGCTGTATTACTGACATGTTATGCAGAGCAGGAGTAATCATAAGACTACTCTAAGGGGCTGCCTATGGGCCGGGGGTTAGACAGGAACTCAGGAACCATGTATTTGCTTGGCCCCATAAGCCATTCTATGCGAAGAATTAAGTTGGGCCCAAGTTGGTAACCTGCCTAAGGATGCCATGGGATCTTTATCCTTCGCTGATATAATTTATTCTAAATGTGATTCTTTACACTTACAGTTTGTATTGACTTTCATTACTATATATGAAGCAGAATAGGTACTGATGGTATCCTTGTTATTTAATGTTTCAAAGAGAATAAAATAAAACATAAAATAAAAATTCCATGCTACAATAAAACAGCAGTAAAGATTAATGAGCAAGAGAAAGTACAAAAATATAGGCAATTTTTATTTTGCCCACCAAGATTTATTCGATTCCTTTTGTCCCAATGCCCTTAGTATCTGGTTAGTTAAAAACCCCCTCTGTATAAAATTGTAATGTGTGTAAACCATGTTCCTATTAGACTGTGCCCTGCAGTTTTCCTCTATTGATTGAGGTAGGAAGCAGGATGTGAGCACAGCTAATGGGATTAGACAGTGTAAAGGTCAGGCAGAAGGACACGTGCACATAATGTATCAATATATTAATGGGACATGGGTAAGAGATGCTGTGGCGAATCTGTCAGGCTGGAACAGATATACCACTGCAGACGAACTGATTCATAGTTTCGCCTAGTAACCATCTAAAGGAATACCATAATACAGCCCTTAGACAGCACGCCTATGTCATGTTCAACGCGTGTGAACTCTGATGTAACAAATGATACTGTGGGGGATATGCATGTGTACAAAGTGATGGTTTAATTCCATTATGTTATTGTGTTTATTAAAGAATTCTAAAAGTGATCTAAAAAGTGACAGTTTTCTTCACAGAAAATTCCACCAAGTTTTGTAGAAATTTCAATATCAGAAGATCGGCAAATTTAGAGCGGCAGAAAAAAAAAAGAGACGTGAAAAAGAACACTTTTCTGTTTAAAGAAGTGGCAGAAAGATTGCTAAATCCATTGTTTTGCAGAAAATACTAGGTATATATATAAAATGATGGTCAGGCACAAAAGAATCAACATATGTAAGAACCTGACAGATTTAATAAACTGCGCCAAATATTTGCAGAAAATTTGCGATATCGTTGCCTGCAACATTTTGTTAAATCTCCCTCAATTATTGCCAATCTGTTTTGTTTTCATTGGCAGAATGAGCTTTTAGTGAAGCCACGTTGACTATAATGTAATAACTCCATATTTGTTCCCCAGCATTATATGTTACTAAGCATATTTTTACTATATTCATTTGACTAAATTCCATTTACCTCTTTGTGGTTATTTCTTTTTTACAAATCAATTGGCTGCCGTTACCTTGCTAAAGTTGAAATTCGCAAATTTAGCCTTCGCTTTAATAACCTTTCCAAATGATTAAATACGGTTAGAAACATTTCCAAATTATTCAACAAAATTCTCATAGACTATAATGGGGAGTGCGGTAGATAAATCATTTAGAATGTTTTCTAACAGTATTACATCATTTAGAAAGCAAAAAACATGCATTATGAGATATCACCAGAATTAAATAATTATATGTTCTACTTGGTGCCTGTCATTTAGAAGGTTCAAAGCATTGCGTTGTTCAGCTGAATTAGATGTACCAGTATTCCAATCACTTTCTGGGTAATTAGATTCCGCAATGATTAAAACTTGTCTCAGATGTGTTGCTTGCTTTTTCGATTTGTAATAAATGTCGATCTTCACAATCTAAATCCTCAGCTGGTTTTTTAAAGAGCCTTTCATGTCCTAATTGAGCTTTTCCTAGGCATTCATGCTGCCAATTTCTATACTAGTATGTGTTTCTCCACAAGTACAAAAGTAACCTATACACAATGCTCTAGTCCAGAGGTAGGCAACCTTTTAGTAGTACTGTGCCGAAACAAGATATTAAAGTCATTTGGCATGCATGTCCTATTTTGTTAAATTGAGGTGTGTATGTTGCTGTATTCTGCTTGTGTGATTTATGGGTGTTGCAGTTGCCTTGTAGCATTGTATTTTTATTTATATGGCCTGTTATATTGTAAATGTTCATGAATAGTTTGTGGTATCGTGTATGATACTTTTGAATGGGGGCTGTGTATGGGGGCTGCTTGTGGAATTGTGTGTATGGATGATAAGTCACATTGTGTGTATATGTGGTATTGCATGTGAGAGGCTGCTTGTGGGGTTGTGTGTGTGTGTGTGGATTGCGGGGAGTGTGTGTGGGCTTTTTGTATTGGTATGAAGTGGAGACTTATTCTGCAGCTTTGTGTATATCTAGCAGTGAGAGTGACTTCCCTGGGGTCCAGTGGGGTCCATACTGACCAAGTACAGGTCAAGGGCAGGAGCTGCTATAGTTGCTGTTGACCGCTCTACTGCAATGTGGATTCCCACTCACAAGTTCGGAAGAGGAAGTGATCTGAGATCACTTCCTCTATGTGCTGCAATACATAAATTGATGATTATCCTTCACCACCTGCAATTACCGTTTGGTTTGCACTAGCAGATATCTAAAGTTCCACTGGGACTCCCGATAGGCCAGAGCCTGTTTGTCTCTGGTGGCCTCGAGTGCCATAGGTTGCTGACCCCTGCTCTAGTCCTTTGAGACAAAGATATAAAATATGGGTTCCTGACTTTTTGCTTCCAAGAGAGACCTTGGGTAATGGAAACCTGAATTGAGTTTCTCAGCTGTTGTGAAAAATGTATTGGAGGTGGGTAATCAAATGCTGGCAGAATTGAAACAGTATTCTAAACGTACAATGTAGAGCCTTTTCTTTCTGGATTGTCCCGGAGTATTTCCAACCTATATATCCTATCTGGCAATTTCTAGTAGACATTCTTCAAGATCATCTATTCAGAGCAGAATTAACCACAAGGTGACCTTAGGCAGCCACCTAGGGATCGGGGATTAGACAGAGTCACAGACTCATATATGAAGAATGAAAGAGGGGCTCCAAACTGGTACCCTGCCAAGGGCCCCATGGGATCTTAATCCTTTTTTGCATCTGTTGCAATGTCCCTGATTCTGCAATACAGGCCTCCTAATAGGTGGATTATTGCTGTGCCTGGGGAATAGAAGTAATGTCAGGTTCCATTCAGTGTAATTAACATTGAATGTATTGATTGTTTTCCTAGCTTGTGTGTGCAATCTCGCTTAACGTACACCGTCAATACTTTTCCATTTAATGTTTCTGTTAACAAAGGCTTAAAACATTAACTAATAAAGCAATGTTGTGCAGATTCTTTTATTGACGTAGCGGTCAATGAATAATCATCTTTATATCTGTCTATCAGCAAAGTAAACACTGCCTGCGATATTTATGTCGGCATTAAATAAATGTGAAAGTTTCTCACCAGCAAGGAATGTAGTGAAACAGAGATTTTCTCTGGGCTGTAATTCTGGTCTAATTCTAGTGCAAATATGTGAGATATCCAGGTACCTTCACTACATTTTGGCAGTCCGAACAATGGGTGACACTTGTAACGGAGCTCCCTGTACCCCTGGCTGGGTACCTCCACCAAGGACCGTTTCCTAGCTAGAGCAGGGGACAAACTGCAGCACTTCTGCCCACAGTCGCCATGGCTTCAGTAGCGTCCTGGAACCGCTCCCTCCTGGAGCCAAATGGGGAACTTGCTCTAGCCACCCCCAGGCACTGGACGACACTCAGTCCTGGGAGCGCTAGTCCTTACAAGGACTTTCCCCAATGAATCCTCCACACTGGAACAGTGATTAAAGAATAGCCCTTTCCCCTCCCAGTAACCATAGTTCTGGGAGTACAAGCTGTAATACGTTTAATCTGGCCAGATGGCCTGCTTTTATACATTTTCAAATACAATTGAGTACGCCCATGACACTCCCACAGATAATCCCTCCCCTATGCATGGGAGATAATTGAGTCAGGAACTGTACAAAACTCAATTATCTCCCGGCACAAAAAACACAAATTTCACAGACACCCCAAAAGTACCATTAAAAATATAAAAACCCCACAAAAGTTACATCCCCTGATAGCCCGATCTGGGTGACCATCATATCCAAAAATCATCAAGATTGGTTCAGGGGTTTAGGATTTTCCTGGAAGTCTTAATTTGACCGACCGCACACGAGGCTCCTGCCCAAAACAGTTCCATAAAATCAGGGCTAGTGGTCGATCTAGTTCGGTAGATTAAAAACGAACAAACTACAGAACATAGTCAATATTCTTACCCTGTAGCTTGTTCCCCTTATTCGTGGGAACGTTTCCACTGAACAGTGTCTTCCTAAGGATTATAAAACCGAACAAAGACAATCATGGAAATCCATCTGTGTTCGGGAGTTTCAGTGTCCGAAAATAGTTCCATGAACTCGACGACCAAACACCGCTGCCTGCGTTCATGCGAACAAGATGGCTGCCACCTCGTGGTCGTCCATAGGAAATGCGGCCATGCAGACGAACACTTAGAACACTGCAGTGGAAATTGCTACAAAGTAGCAATTAGGCTTAAACTCCCGGGTGGAATAATTTCACATGGTATCGCAAAACTTTGGTACCCCAGCAAAAAAAATGTGTGCCGTAGAGTAGCGCAGCACAAACCTTTGAATGAGCAGACTGTAATGTTCTCTTTTGCTGGTAAATTCTTTTTTTATCTGGTTTAATTGTTGACAATTGTAATCTAAATCTGCAGTTGCTTCAAGTCAATTTCGATATTTTGGTTTTGTTGCAGAGTAAAGCAAGAATCCGAGTAAAGCGATTTTCACATAAGTATGTGCTGGCGAATGGTAGTAGACAATTGCCCACTTGGACAATTCTGGGTATTCTTCGCGTAAATCACCCCAAAAGGCAATAAGAGAAACTTCTTTACATTTTTGGCTTAGTTGACTGTCAGAAGTTATATCGATCAGATTCTCAAAATCTACATCAGAAAAATGGTCTGGCTTGTCTTTTATGAATGGATTTCGAACCCAGTCATTATTGTTTTCATTCAAAAATGGAAAATATTGATTAATAGATGTGATTAAATGACAAAGATGCGAATTTCATCTTCAATTTCTGATTCTTCAAGAAAATCCTTAAGTGTTGGCAAAGAGTTCAAATTATTTTGCTCAACAGATGAGGTCCAAAACTGCAGCTTATGAGGCAGAAAAATATTTAATCTCTTGCATTAAAAATATTAGTGTTTTTTCCTTGGAGTTATAAACATACGTCATTTAATTTTGTTAATATGTCTGCAAGATACGCTACTTTGGATAATCACAGAGTGTTTGTTAATCGATCAGATAATCCAAATTTATGATCCTGGAAATATGCAAACAACTCGACGCAATTCAAACATTCTAACAAGGACTTTACCTCGTGATAGACAACGGACTTCTGAATACAAAAGCAGAGCAGAGAGGTGACTACACATATCTTTACATATAATTTAAATAGTCGACTTTTTATAAAATTAATAATCTGGACCGATTAGTCTAGCACAGTTTTAAGTGAGACTGAAATATTTTTAGCCACCAGTGCATGTCTGAAGAACACAGTGAGAACTGGTGCTGTTTTTGCTACATTTCTTATTTGTGTCACAGCGCCTGCCACATTTCCAACCATTGCTTTGGAACCATCACTGCACACATCTACACATTTGTCCCAATTTATACTGTGTGTGTTCATAACCTTCTGGATACAGTGAAAGATGTTCTCACCAGTGGTATGAGTTTTCAAAGTTTCACACAGAAACAACTCTTCAACTCAAAATTGTATCTAGCAAAAACCAACAAAATTGAAGGTCCTGCAACATCTGTGGACTCGTCTAATTGCAGTGAGTACCGATCACATTGATGCAGTCAAGAAATTAGTTCAGTATGGATGTCATCAGCAAGATCATGAATAGGGCGCAAAACTGTGTTGTTGGAAAGTGACACAGCTTCAATTTTTTTTACTCAACTTCTCACTTAAAATACATGACACTATTTATTTTGCACATGGTTTTATTAGTGATTCCCCAATTGTGTGTGCTTCTCCTGCAAGTGCTATGCGGTAACTCACTCTGTAAGAAGCCTCTGTGGCTTTTTCTTTAGCATTTTGACATTTTTTGCTCATAAATTGTTTAATCTTCTGATACTCCTTTAGCTTTCGCTTAAAAAAGTGAATGTCTTTATCTTTGTACTCTGCGTGGTTTTGCTCAAAATGACAACGCAATTTAGCAGGTGCTAATGAATTGTTTGGCAATATTTTATTGCTAAGTACGCATTGTGCTTTAGGACAATCTTCATTTCTGGCACTTGTGAATCCAAATGACAAGTAGCTATCATCATATTTTCTTTTCTTTGTTTGAATAGCATTATGTGCTTTTCTTTTTTTCTTTGACTTGTCACTTGTCTCTGCTATTTGAGGAACAGTAGATACAACTATTTTGGGCATGTTTTCTGGATTTTTTTACTTGTATTTTCTTTCTCAGTTTCTATAAGTGCCGAACAGGTAGAAGTAGAGTCTTTCAATGCTCCTGACAGAGCCTTTTAATGTCCCTAACAGAGAATTGCAATGCCCCTGACAGAGCCTTTAATGTCCCTTACAGAGCCTTTTAATGCCCCTAGCACAGAATTTTTATGCCCCTTACAGAGTCTTTCAATTCCCTTGACAGAGCCTTTTAATGCCCCTACCAAACAGAGCTTTCTATTTCACTACCCAACAGAGCTTTCTATGTCCCTACCTAACAGAGATTTATATGTCCCTACCCAGCAGAGCTTTCTGTCTATGACAAAAACAGGGCTTTAACTATCAGCTCCACTCTCTATCACTCCTCTACCACAAGTGATAGAAAATGGCTGACGGCAGGGCTGGCTGGTGGCTGGGCGGGCTGGCTGACTGCTGGGCTTTCTCACGGACGAGCTACGTTTAAGTGGCTGTCTAATAGCAGGGTGGGCGCTAGGGCGGGCTCTGATGGCAAGGCGTGCTGAGGGCAAGGTGTGCTGTCAGCAAGGCGGGCTTACGGTAGAGCTTAAAATCGCGCTCCCGCAATCTCTTATGAGATCACGGTTGTGCTATTTCGGCTGTTTCCGACCTTCCGAGAACAGCAGGTAGCAGCGGCCATTGGGGATGTGGCAAAATGGAGCGGAACACCAATTTTGTTCTAGGGTTCCACGGAACACCAATTGGGAAACGCTGGTCTTTATAGTCTAAGAAAGTCCTTGGTGCAGAGGATGATATATTGACAGCCATAGCATCACTTGGTGGAAACAAAGCCTATCCTTGGACCCAGAGAAAGTGTTCAATAGAGCATTGTTGCCATATTTGTTCTGACTGCTACAGCACTGAGGTTTCACAGGAAAGTACATTACATCCATACTAGCCCTATATAGGTCACCTAAAGCTCAGATTATCTCACCTAACAACAAATTGTCTCCTTTCCCTTGTCTATTGAAACTAGGCAGAGGTGCCCTCTGTCCCCACATCTCTTAGCACTTTCCCTTGAATCCCTCTTGCATCTTATTAGAACAAACCCAAACATTACGGGGATAACAAATACAAATGGCACAGTGAGTGACTACAATAGCTCAAACACCCATGTGGTATCCCCTATACCAACACAAAAATACATACAATGCAGACACAATGGAGCCAGGTTCCTAACTGGCTCTGATTTTGTGAGTGTTTCCTTGCACATATTGTTCTTTTATATTTATTGTAAATTGTCTACACTATTTTGTGTATCTCTCTATCTCTGCAGTATTATATTGAGAAGAGGAGAGAATAGCATTGCTCCAACCATTGTGTCTGCATTACTGGGATAACATTAGCTGGTACGTGCTGTAAAGTATCAGCATATGCTGTTAATATCTTACTCACAATCCTGGACCCCTCCAGGTCTCCACCTCCCCTGCTTGAGGCAAACTTGCAGTTTGGAACCTTATCTGGCTACAAAGTTAGTTTTGACAAATCCTGTATTATGCCCTTCCATGGTCCAGCTCAGGGCGTGACACAGTTGAGGTCTTAATATGGATTCCAGACTCAAAGCAAGGCCTTTAGATACCTAGGCATTCAAATTACTGCAAATCCGGACCAGTTAGGTTCAGTTAACTATGGCCAGCTATTTTGGACCGCAAAATTTGTTAATTTGTTTGTTTTTCCTTCTTCTTCTGTAATTCCTTTCTTTACCCGTGCCTGTGAGGCCACATTTTGTGGTGCTTCTGTAGTTATTGCTTTCTTTGGATGTGTAATAAATTCTTCTTATTCCCCTTTCTGTGATTTTGCCAGTTGATGGATATATACGTCTTTTGTATATATAGTCTTGGGTCAAAGGCTTGCTACATTAATATACATCTATATTAATGAAAAGTACTAATACATGATCTGACTTACGGTTTCTTCAGGTTTATTCTTAGTTACTGATACATAATAAAACAACAAAGGATGTTACATGATCATGGATGTTCAACAGCAGATGGTAATTGCTGGATTCCTGAAGGGAGCGTTACATCATTACATCGAGAAAGAGAGACAGAGAGCAAAAGAGATCTCGTGTCCCTTAAGTTATTATATAGATGTTCCCATACTGACGTCAGACTATAACTCTAGCCATATAAGGACAAGACCCCCAACCCACATTCCAGAGTTCTCATACAAGAAAACCTTGTGACTTATACCATCTGTTACTTATGTCAATCCTCACATCCATATATAATCAATAGAAACATAGAATATGCAATATTCTACAGGATTATAGCTGTCATCTGAGCTGCAATCTCTCAAGCTCCACTGACTACTAAAAACTGAGCATTGATCTATTTAGTGTTTCTATAGCGAATATTCTCTTTACCCGGTCACAGAGTGTTGGTGAATGGTCTTCTCTATGCACAACTGCACTTGTGTCATATAACTAAAATTATATCAAAGAATGTAACATTGGCTTAAGTGCATTATCAGATTTATTGGCCTGGATGTGCCAGCCTGATTCAATTTCTCATGCATATGTACATTTATTATGTCCACATTTTAGAAAATCACAAAACATAAAATTAGTTTAAAGGAACTCCTATGATACATAGACAACTGTTTAAGAACCATGATTTTGTGTGCTTCAAACAATAATTCCATTGATCAATTATTTTCCTTTATAGTGATAATATAATATGTAAAAATATAACACAACTAAATGATTCCATGTTTGTCTTTAACTTGACAGATCCGACATTTCTTACGCAATGATTCAGAAGAGGCAGAGTTGGCAGAAATAATACGAGGATTCCCTGGGGAGAGTCCTAAGAAGGCCCAAGTTCTAGAGGAGAAGACATTGAAGGAACAGGAGGAAAGGCTTCAAAGGGAGCATCAAGAAGAGGACGTGAGACTGCGACAAGAACACCATGAAGAGAAGCTACGGCGACAGCAACATGAGGAGGACGAAAAGCTCCGCAGAGAACTGCAAAGAGAGCAGGAGCAGCCCTTCTATAGGGAACATCAGGATGAAAAGCTACATAGAGAGCAGCATGATGAGGAGAGGCTACGCAAAGACCTCCTGCAAGAAGTAAAACTATGCCAAGAACAGCAAGAGGAAGGAGAAAGAGAAACAAAGCAGAGCGATCAACAAAGATACCATTTAGATCAAGAGGAGAAGTATTGTAAGGAGCTTGAGAAGCATTTCTACAACAATGGTTTCCCATCACACATAAATTCAGAGTTTTCCAAGGTTGCTCGATACGGCAAGGAGGACTTAGAAGAAGGACTGGCTTATAGTCAGACTCTGCCTGTCAGGCCCCCAAGAGCTGGCTGCCCTCCTCTGATGCCTCCTCATAGCCCTTCCAGACCTAAAAGTCCATGGGGTAAGCTTGACCCATATGACTCGTGTGAGGTAAGAAACAAATTATACTTAGGGCGCAAGTTTTTTGATAATCGTCCAAAGTTCTATACTGCATTGAAAATAGTTTTTTTTACTTTCAAATGTTACTATTCATGGATTTTGAAATTGAAAAATGTTGAAACTTAGCACTGTATATATACACAGCGCCAGAATAATGAAAATTAGATTTTATTTATAGAAGATATACTTATATCTGTGTCTTTTCATACAAGCCCTGATCTGTTTTCAAAGCACATTCTAAAAACTAAATCTTGAGTATCCTCTGCTTTATTGTTTCCATGAATAGCTACATATAAACCCAATACTAAGCATTTGTTTAATAAAAAACACCCAATTTCCCATAATGTTTCTAATCTTTTAAATGCGAACGTCTATATAGGAGTTGTGATCCTTGTCTGCAGATAGCACGGTCCTCTTGGGTAAACAACAGGCACAGTCCTTTGGTTTGCATACAATCCAGGCAGTTTTATTGTTAAACTCCACCACAGCTACTGCAGCAAATGAAAAAACAACAATAAGACAAATCCCTATAAACAAAATCCTAGCTCGTCTGAGCACTAACTAACATCAGATTCCATATCTCTCAGGGGGTTAAACTAGAACAAAATAATATTTGGGTTCACCAACCTAGTGCCTTTGTCAGATCTCTGCACTACACACTCAGTTAGCATGTGTCTTCCATTCCTTCTAGAAAGAAACAAAATTCTCTCTCTTTTCCGCACTCCAGTGCTCTCAGCTAGCCTGCTGCTTTCCTTCTAAACTCCCAGTGCTCCAAGCCAGCCTTAACTGCTTTCCTTCTGCACTCCCAGTGCTCCAAACCAGCCTTGACTGCTTTCCTTCTGCACTCCCAGTGCTCCAAGCCAGCCTTGACTGCTTCCTTCTGCACTCCCAGTGCTCCAAGCCAGCCTTAACTGCTTTCCTTTCTGCACTCCCAGTGCTCAGTCTCCTTGACCCTCTCACAGGAGAGAACAGCGTCTTTCCTACCTGCTTCCAGGGAGGAAGCCAGCAATCCCCCTTTATCTGCCTAGCAGGGAGGGGTTTATTCCCACTGCTACAGCTGATTATCTGCAGCTGAGCAGTGGGTTGGAGACAGTTCCAAAAAACTCTGGAGTGGACCTTATTTCTCCCAGTTGTGTATAAACTAAGGAGTGGAGCATTGGCCCACCCTGCTCTCCAAATGCTCCACCCCAGGGGCCCATAACTAAACATAGCTTTGTGTTGCACACCACACATACAACACATACTTCCACTGGGGTTAAATGTTAAAGGCCTCTCTGCCTTCACTTTATCACAGAGTGTTCTAAATGTTGTTTCATTAGTTATACCTTGATGGTATCTAAGTCGCTTCCAAGTCCTGATTGGTGGTGCAGTGGAACTGAAATGGCATTAAAAGTTAGTTTCAGGACATGTCACCCTAAATTCACTATCAAATTTGTCAAATGAGTTCAAGTTCAGTGTTGATCACATTTGTTCATGTCAAAAAGTGTTTTATAAAGCTCGACAGAACTTGGGTGAAAATTCAGCATACCTTTAAGTAAACATAGGTCCCAACGTGTGGTTTAAATATGTGATGTTAGGTGAATGGATACTCAAAACATTTACTGGCCCTCACTTGTATGACATCATTATCTGAGGGTTGGGGCTTATTGCTGCAGTCATAAAAAGGAAGACAGGGACAGGGGACCTACTCTCATCAAAACCTATGCAAGGAACAAATGTTGCTATGATGCTTGTAGTGTCCCTTTAATTAGACTTTTCAATTGTAGGAGATCATGACTTTTACCATAAAAGTGAAATAATATTAAATATCGTTAAATATTAAAATAACCTAAAATGAATGGGGTGGTTAATATCATAAAATCGTATTGTAATCAAAGATATCTGCTTTTATTTTTAGCAAAAAGTGTAACATTTCCATATAAATCACAATGCATTGATTTAATGTCACCTATTATCAGTGTGAATCCATGCCCTGCAGAGCTATTGATCCCACTGCATTGCCCTAGAAATACAGACTGGTAGTAAATATTTTAGCACAAATCATTATTTATGTAATTAGAACCCTCACGCCACCGCTAAAGGCAATTAGTGTGCCAGTGTTCCAGTTTTATGAAGGGGTGGGGGGGTTGGGGGAGGAGGGAGAATATAACAACATCTTGTCTCAGCAAATCCAATGTGTTCCTATAATGCATTAGGAGCCTATGGAGCAAAACGCAGCTCTGCACCAATCAGCATCTCCTCATCGATTGAATCAATTCATCTCTATGGGGGAGCATTCAGGAACGTAGGTGTTGCACACTGAGCAGCACTGACACGGGAAGAACATCTAGATTAATAATGAAATTAGTGATGTATTTGTATCTGAGATAACACAATTGTAAGTAAAATGACACCAATATACCAATGGGTGAAAATTCAGACAGAAATTACTTTATAACTCCTCTCTAGTACACATATTTTATTCAAAATGAAAATAGGTGATTTAGAACTACAGCTCCCATAAACCTATATTGACCAAAAAGGCAGCAATTGGTTGATGGAGGATCAAGGGAAATGTAGTTTAGTAACAGCATGAAGTCAACGTTTGGCTCCTATTGTTGTCTACAGCACATGTAGAAATTATGTTGTAAGTGATGCTTGCATTTCTGTTCACCGCAGGAAGATAGAGACTATGTGGGCTTTGCCACCCTCCCCAACCAGGTGCACAGAAAATATGTGAAGAAAGGCTTTGAATTCACATTAATGGTTGCAGGTAAGAATACATTTATCAGTTAGTGACAGCAGTGACACCCACACATGTCAACTCTCAGCAGAGAAAGAGTAGAATGTTATATATTCTGTATGGAGATACACTAAGTGAAAGACAGGTACATGTGAGTCACTTTAGATTCCATATTGCCCTTTCCATTTGTGTAATAGCTAGCTTGCTTCACCTAGAGCTCTGTGCTATGACACTTAAAATGACACCATGCTGAACTGTTGGAAAAATGTGTCAAGTAAAAGGCATGTGATATAAAATACTGTATCATAAAGATATAGTGATGTTAAAAAAAGGCTCCTCTGAAACTTGGTTCAAAGGAGAGATTTAAAAATATAGTGAAAAAAATTAATAAAACCATGTCAGACAGTAGTGGTTTTGGAAGTAAAAACCCCTGTCGATAAATAAAATGTACTCGCATGGAAATGTAGGATAAGAAAATCCCAACTCGTGTCGGCCACCGTGTCCAATCAAACCTCTAAAGAAATGATCAAATTCACCTAAACTCGGAACAACGAAAGTTGCTTTAATCACTTCTTAACGAAAACAAAGCCAGTTAAGGAATTTTGCTAGGTCCTAAACCTTCATTATATGTTTACATGTTCTGCAACAAGAAGTGTCTAAGCTTAATCATATTTGACCTGATGGGGGTTGACTATGGGGAGTTTGTCCTTGAAAGAAGATAAGCAGCTAGATATCCTTCGTAGAGATTTTGTTTCAAAAAGCTGGCCGCCATCTAGTTATAGAGGACAGACAATTGGTGACATGGTCCAGGATGGAAAGAGAGAGTATTCTCAGTACATAAGTGATACTAAAATCCACAGAAGATTAAGTAGCTATGATAGGAATGGTAGAATAGGATATTCCAGAAGATCAATGCAATATCAATACTACGTATCACTATGAGTGGCAAATCCTACATATGGCCTTCCATCATTACGGTTTGAATTGAAGACGGGGCTGACAGACTGCTAGGCCTAGCACACAGTTTCTCTGGCACACCGTCATGCCTCTGGCATCTAGCCATCATTTAACTGAAAAGAAAGATAAAGGTTTTATGTTTGTCACATTATTGCGTGAGTAAAGACATGAAGCGTTATAGTGGGACCTTACGTCTTCTCCCGGTTTCTTATATTCTGATAATATTATTATAATGTTATATTGTCTATGTAATTAAATAATAAGCAATGGCAATACTTTACAGTATGACATCCTGAAACTGTATGTTTAAAATAATTCATTTGCCAATTTCCTGTAATTAACTATTGTACCCTGCAGTTTATTGTGTTCCAGTACAAGTGTACATCGTTTGATAGCGTCTCTCAAGTTGGCCCATAAACTGAAAATCACCTGTCTTTCTTGCAGGGGAGTCAGGGCTCGGAAAGTCAACTCTGATTAATAGTCTCTTCCTCACGGATCTATATCGTAGCCGCCAGATTCCAAGTCCAGAAGGTATGTTGCATGGTCAGTGATATCTGCTATTCTTATTTCTACTGTATCAAATGTAGTGCTTTACTTTGGTTGCAACATTAGGGAGTATAACTTTTTGGGGTTTGTAGCAAATTGAAGACTAAATTGTTAAATGTAGGGTAAAATATCCAAATAGCTGAGTTGGAGAATTTTACTAAATCAGCAGTTTCTTTGCCTAAATATTTCGCATAGGTTTTTAATGAACTAGGTTACACTGTTTAGTGTGTGAACTCCTTTGATAACAGGCGTGCCAATTAAACACCCTTACTGGGCATCCATGACGAGCGACACTGCAATACCATGTGTTTTTATGTTCACAGAGGATATTAACTGTACACATTCACCTGCAGAATGCGTAACACAGACAGTGGAGATTGTGAAGCAGACAGTTGACATTCAGGAGAAAGGCGTCAGACTGAGACTAACAGTGGTGGACACACCAGGTTATGGTGATGCCATAAACAACGAGGAGTGGTATGTGCATCCGTGTACATTATTTTTCTATTTCCTTCAGTTACTTTTTACTTTGTGTGTATGTCCATTGATTTCAAAACCTACAGCCCATCATCTTACTGATGTGATAATTCTAAAAGCATTATGTTCCTATGAAATAAAGGAATCTCTTTTTTATCCGGGACTTCTGGTTAAAGATAAATTTGAATGAGTCTTTTGTTTTTGTGGAATGGAAAGCAGACTGTAAAATGTTACTTATCCCTCTCATTCCAATGGTTTCTTAGAAACCCAGTGCTTTATTTACTAAAATCTGAACTGTAGACATTTGAATTGGGACATCCCAATTAACAAATCCATGCTAAAATAGCTGATTTGGAAAAATTCTCAAACTAAATTATAGTCATGAATCAAAGAAAAAAACAGGTCACACCTTACAGGATACATATAGTGCATAATTATACCATGTATATATACATATATATATATATATATACAACCAAATTTAAAAAAAAAGACCTGTAGATATTCAAATCTTCATCAGTCAGTGATTTTTAGAGCGTGATAGTCCTCAGTTGTGACATAAAATAGGGGGGCAATGTAACATCTGAGGTCTATTACACTCTAAAGATCAAGATTTGGACATTACCAGGTCTCTATTGATTTTAGTTTTATACAAATTGTATGATTTTGCACTATATGTATCCTGTTAGGTGTAATTTTCTTTATATTTGTATTTTGATTGTAGTTCTTTTGGGTGGAGAGGGAACACTAAATTTCTGTGTTTGCTTCCTCCCCTTACTTCACTACAGTTATATAGTGTTTGACCTATTTAAATTATAGTCATTGCTTAGTTACATAGTTACATAGTTACATAGCTGAAAAGAGACTTGCGTCCATCAAGTTCAGCCTACCTCACATTTGTTTTTTGCTTTTGATCCAAAAGAAGGCAAAAAAACCCAGTTTGAAGCACAATTTTGCAACAAGCTAGGAAAAAAATTCCTTCTTGACCCCAGAATGGCAGTCAGATTTATCCTTGGATCAAGCAATTACCCTAGTTATTTTTTTAACAATTTGTAATTGGGTTTTGAGTTTGCTGCAATGTTCAGTTTAGTGAGTTAACTTTCCTGTAGAGATGTCAATAATAAAACATTTGACTATCTTGATGTCCTGAAAGCTACATCATCATAAACTGCCAAAATGATGTAGTATTTGTGTATGCATTTCTACACTATTTTTGTGGACTGTTTAACATAAGTTCACGGTGAGCTATATACAGTACATGAGCAGAGAACATAGCATTAACTGTTGGAATTGTTACAAAATCTCCAATTAGCCTTAATTGTCTTAAATTGTCTTAATTGACCCTTAGCTGGAAGCCAATATCAGATTACATTGACCAGCAATTTGAGCAATACTTCAGGGATGAAAGTGGATTAAATCGCAAGAATCTCCAGGACACTCGTGTGCATTGCTGTCTGTACTTTCTGTCACCTCTCGGACACGGGTATGTACAATAAAGTGTTCTACATTTTACGTCTGGATTTATTTAATACATGAACTCTCCCTACAATGGCAAATGGAAATGGAAAATTTCAGGCTAAATAACAAATCTATGATTTTTTTCACTCCTTGTTTAATGCACTCCAGGATTACCAAAAATATATAATTAAAAAATGTATCTAAAATGTATCTAATCCTTTTGCTGTAGGTAAATTTAATCAGGTTCCCTCTCTGGGTTTTGTTAAATTAACTGAAATCGTAAGTACCGGTAATAATTGTCTAATTTCCACAAATTGGAAGAATTCTCCAACCCTTTAAAAAAATTTTTTTTTAAATATAGAAATAATATATTGTGAAAACATAGTAGTGAATTCAACGATGCCACTGATTTTGAACATTTCCCTACTTTTCGGTTTGCAAACTAGAACCTTCTTCCAGTTGTATGTTGGAGCTAGAACACCCCTGTTTCTGACAGTTAAATTCTGAAACTGCTTTTGGACCACAGAGGCAGTGTGGTCAAACACTATTATGTATACTGGTAGACTTAACTGGGAACTCTGCGGATTGCCCACAACAGAAAAAAATGCCTCTAGTCTAGAGCATGTCAACAGATAATTACAATGAGTTGTGATACAGTGTATTTGAGCAAATGTTATCTCTAGGTGGTCAGCATGGTGCCAGTAAATCTGTCCCCATCTTGCAGAGTCGTACCCCATATATTGCTTTATTTTAGGGCTTCCATGTTCTGATAAAGGACTGAAAAGGCCATTATTTTCTAGACCACATGGAATGGAATTTACAGTAAATGGGACGTATTTTTAGATCCTCACCAAAGAATATTTTTTTTTTCCCTAATGTGGTCAAAGTACTGAAAAGCAGTCTTTGATAGAATAAGGTCACTCTTAATTGAGAAGGTATATTCTCCATAAGTCTAAAAACAATCAGTTCACGTTCTGTCTCCTACAGAGATTGAGCAATCTAAACTGTCAATATTTATTCCTGTAGAATGCGTCCCCTGGACATAGAGTTTCTCCGCGCACTCCAGGATAGAGTGAATATTGTGCCAATCCTGGCAAAAGCTGACAGCCTGACACCTACAGAGCTGCTGCAGAAGAAACAGAGGGTGAGTTCTAAGAGTCTTTTAAAGTTCTGTTCAAGGGTTCGGACACCATTTGCCCCTTAGACTCTACACTTGCCAATCAGGGAGGCCATATCCCTGGAACACATACTGCACATGTGGCAACTGAAAACAAGCTGTGGGCATTACTGCATATAGGACAGATGATGTTTATTGGGATCTTTGTGAACCTTGGTATTTAATCTCATTATGTCAGATAAAGGCAATGAGGCTTCTTTGCAGGTCCTTAAAAAGAAATGGTTTCACGTGATTATTATTTATTTATAAAGAGCATTTTCCACAAGACTGAACCAGGGCATTACAAATCCAAACAAGGTACCAATGTCATAAGCGAGATACTACTAACCCACTAAAGACCTTGTAAAATACAGTGGAACAAACCAAGGAATATTTACAACCGTGTATATTTACTTGCTGTCTTTTCAGCTTTATGTAACATGGGAAAATGGTTTAAAAATGATGATGATAATATAAAAAATCTAAAAGGTACAGTTGGGTGCATTCATTAGACTAAAGAAAAGAGTTACCTGTGCACTACCCCAAATCCCTATACATATTTAGACACATTGAGGATTTTTGTTTCACTCCAATGGCCATTAGGTGTAAGCCCACCTGCCACATCAAGGCAAACCTCTTAGGGGAGTCCTACACTAACAATTCACCTTGCTTCCTTCAGAATCATGCAAAAAAAATCTCTTATGAGACAGGGGTATTTTTCCAAGCCCCTACATAGATGACTGACAGCAACAGTTAATGCAAACTCCAAACAAATATATTGCAATAAAATAAACATGAGAACAAATCTTTAACTGCTACTGTACTAGCAATGATCCTTTCAGCTAAAAAAACAAAATTCCACCACCCTATACATTTAACTTCCAACAAAAAGTATTGAAATATTAAATAGAAATAGTGCGTGGGTAGTACTGCTACAAGGGGTATCATTTACCCAGCACCATGTGATTATCAGCCCACTCAATGTTGTATAGTTTATGTTCATGCAGCTTCCATTCATTTTTATAGGACATTGTATGGGGGAAGCACTGAGTTCATGTGCCATGATATATAATTCATTATATTCACATTACTTGTAGATTCGAGAAGAGTTGGAACACTTTGGGATCCGGATCTATCAGTTTCCTGAGTGTGATTCAGACCAGGATGAGGACTTTAAAGTCCAGGACATGGAACTGAAGGTGACCAGCTGTCAAGTAAACTATAAACAGTAATGTAGCATGGGGTACAAGGAGCCTGACTACTTGTAGTTTTAAAATAGAGATGGATTTATTTTAAATGTAAATAGAAAAAAATCTTTAATGGTCCTGAAAGCCTGTATTGTTTGATACATGCAACAATGACACTATTAGTGGTCAATACCTAAGCCTCGAAAACAAAGTCCCCAGATCCTAATACCAGGGACTCTTCAACAACCTTTGTACTGAGCAAAAAATCATAGTATTAAAACATTGGGGTTGGGTATAAGATAAGATATAGAATGTTGGAAGAAATACATTAGGCATCCATTTGGCCCACTCACTTCTATCCCTGAAAATGTTCCTGATTTATGGTAAGTGTTCTCCAGCTACCTAGTAATCTCCTCTAACATGAAAGAGTATTGTTGAGATAAAAAACTAGTCAAGACATACCAATCTCTATGCTACCCATGGTCTTATTCCATCCTTTAATTTTCTTTCTTTCTTTCTTTTTATATCAACCATACACGTTTAATCATGAGACGCACACAATGAGCTTTATTCAATAAACACTAAATTGTATTGAATTGAAAATTGCTAAATATAGGCTAAGATAACCAAGCTATGGCTATAGCTAAGTTGGAGTTTTTTCAGTAACATTTTTCACGTTTGTAGTTCAGTTTCTAATTTATTCTAATTCTATGTTTAGTGAATAATCCTCAGTGCTTGTTAGAAGCCGGGAGGGAGACAGTAAACATTAGGCCTATCATGATAGATTTCTGACTGTCTGTTGTTCTATAGAGAAGCATTCCGTTTGCTGTGATCGGCTCCAATACTGTTGTGGAGATTAATGGGCGTCGTGTGAGAGGCCGACTGTACCCTTGGGGAGTAGTAGAAGGTAAGGTCCTTTAATCACTATCCTGTGACAAACACAAAGTAACACTTTACTGCCAGAGTGAACTCTATACTTTACCTGATATAGAGGGTTTACAACAGAGGAGATGCAGGTAGAGGCATTTGTTAATTAAACCAAGAATTTTGAAGAATTACCAAATAAACTCAGGTTTTAGTCAAAATAGGTAGATAGGATTTTTTTTTAAAATTATTATTATTATATGCATATTGAAGCCATTGCATATAATACGGTAAGTATAGCACAAAAAATGTGTTATGATACAAAGCCAACATTAATTGTGCAGTGACATTCTGAGAACACACATTGTTGGTGAGTCCTGGGAGCTACTGTATCTCTGAGAAACTGTCACCTAAATGTTTTTCAATACAGAATATAACTACTGACGTCTTCCTAACTGCCATCAAAGGGTTTCTTTTTTTGGGTAGTACATGTTGACACTTTTCTGCTTAAATGGACAGTCTGGGCACCATATCAACTTCATCTCAATAAATAAGTTACGATGTCTGGAGGTCCTGGATACCATCGTACCTTAAGGGGTTAAACCAATTACAAATGATTTACCCCAAAGTACTGTTAACGGTGCCCGTCTGCCTCCTCTTCCAACCCACCCTCTTTTTCTGGGAGCGAGTGATAGACTTAGAGTCTTATTTGGCTCTCTCAATCTATGACTGGTCCACCATTAAGAACATGTTTTAGGAAAATAGATACTGGCATCTGTGTAATCATTTATGGACTCCCAGTGTGTATTTGCAGTATTCCATTAATTCTTTTTGGGGGATGGGGTGTAAGGCAATATTCTATAATAATAAATAATCATAAATAATTATATATATATGACATAGATGATCTCAGACAATGATAGGTCAACTGTAATCTTGTGAGTAATTACTACTATATCTAGTAATGCAGATTTCCTTTATAGTGGTTATTTTTAAATAATAGAATAATTATTATTATGATGAAATGTGATTTAAAAAAGCTGTAAAATTACTGGTTTAAAAACGTTGCAGATGGTCTGTTGCTACACATTGTCCTGTAGTTCTTGGGTATCGAGATGATCAATTTGGTTTGAACTTACATGCCTTTTCTGTTTCTATGACACTGATACGTTTAACATTTTTTTTTTCATTCACGCCCCAGTGCCCTCATTCTTTTTGCTCAGTCCTGTTAGTGATTTTTCATCATTTTATTTAATCTCTTCCTCAGTGGAGAACGAGAAGCACTGTGACTTTGTTAAGCTGCGCACCATGCTGATCCGCACTCACATGCAGGACTTGAAAGATGTTACACGTGAGACCCACTACGAGAACTACCGTGCCCAGTGCATTCAGAGCCTGACCCAGCGGGTGGTGAGAGAACGAAACCGCAAGTATGTGCATTTAACTACTACCGTCGCAAAAAGGTTAATTGGGGGTGACTGTTTAAACAAGCAGTGAAACTTCACACCACTTTTTTTTTCTCTGAAAAACAATACAAACAGGAATCCACCACACCTGTATCCCCTACCCAACCCCTATATTATATATTCTGAATATTGTTTTTAACCTCTGTACCCAAAATTCTATGGATTTAGTAGGTGTTTCACCAGTTATAAAAATATTAGATACAAAACAAGAGAAGCTAATCAGTGACAGGGAGAGCAGATAAAGGTGATATTAAAATATAAATTACTTTACTCGTCAGAGGGTCCCCTCGGGCAAAACGAGCCAGCTCGGGCAAAACGCGTGCGTCAGGGTCCTGCTATGTGCTGTCTCTTTTGCTCTGATGACAGCACACAGACTTGCTACCGAGCTTACTTTTTAATTCACTTATGCACTATCTTTTCCTTTCAGGTGTTATGTGGTACAGGTGTTTTTGGGAATAGAAGTAGGTGCCCTTGAAGACACAGGAAAGTGACCGCAGTTAGATTAGTTGAGTCATCAATTTATGTACGTTCCCTCTTTGATTTACTGAGGACTCAACTTTCCGGCTATATTAATACCAATAGACCGCCAATTTAACATGTGGCTTGGCACGGCACGTTATGTAGTAGGGGGTATTATATTAGGTACCCACGAAGGCACGGGAGATCCTCTACATTGAGTTACTTTGTTCCTGATAATGGTACCTGAATAGACTTTTACAGATCTCTTTAGTTCATTGTGTTACTGTCGGGTTTCCTCCCTCCTCTCCCCTCCCCCCTTACGACTCTATTCCCTGATATATATTTATACTATATCCAGTTACTCCTTCAGGATTACACTAACTCTGGTAAATATCTATATTTTTATTTATATCTTGGCACAGACGTTTGCATGGATATATATTTTTTCGAACTTTGGAGTAATTCTATACCATTATCCCCCAACAGGTAGTTCGATATATATCATCCCTTTTTTGTGATAGTTATTGCTATGTAATGTGTTACCACACGAGTAGGTGACCATTAGACTATAATATTTATTGATTGATCTTACACCTGTTTTTACACTATTGTACACGAGCACCACTGTATATAAGCTTTTTTTTCACATGGTTAGTTAGTTTTTTAATAGATTTATTATAATAAAACTTTTTATTTTCTTTATTTGTTACTTTTGAGTCTGGAAGGCAGCTGGCACCCCCTGCATATGATATTGAATCCCAGTCCCCTTTGGTACACTACTTTTTGTTACATTTATTTTCACTCTTAAAATTTTTGTCAAAGTGCACCAAACACAATAACGCAAAGTAAACACTGGCAAAAAAAAACCAAATCGTATAAAGTGTACCCCAAGATGAAAAATTATATTCTTATGTATTAACAATATTGTAAGCAGGCACAGTGCAACCACAAGAGGGCCCCAGTGAGTCTAGGGACCCACCAATGCTCTAATGGGCACCTACAGCCCCCTCCAGTAGTTTCTGTTCACCAGTGGTATTTTGTCACAATTATCATATTGAGTTGTATCTTAAAGACTAGCTTGTGGCCTCATATCACTATCCTATATCTTCTATTTAAACATTTAAGATTTTATAAACTTGATCTTGAGCTAACAACTATCTACAGTCACTTGGTACGTTAGTGGTTATGTAGGTAAAGTGAAGAGGTGTCTCTCACCTGCTGAGGTTCATTTGAGTGTATGTCACCTTGGGATTGCAGAAAGGTGAAGGTCAATCTCACCCATCAAGGTATTTAGCGTCAGCTGTGCTGTTATAATCCTGTTTGTTAAGGGTTGTCTAACATGAGATAACATGATAATGATTCAGTTTTTAGTGCAGCCAAGGTTATTTCTTTTAATTTTTTTTATTTATAAGTGTGAATTGTTGAGAATTTAAATTTCACAAACTTTGCCATGTTTTCAGTCTGACTGTTTTGCCTAAAATGTGATTTTCATTTTGAACTCCAAACAATTCTCATGAATAATTTCATCTTCATCTCCATCTTCCAAAGGTGCAAGATGGAATATGATCATTCTGATTGTTTTTGCATGATGCCGTATGCGTGCTTTTGCAGACACCATTTTTGTTTTGTACACCTTATCACTTACTTGTCTCAGTATCGCAAACAGTATAGGGAGACATTGTGGAAGGAAACCTGCAGCTCTAACACAGAAACATATGGGAGGATTAGGATTGGCTGAGAGACGTGGCTGCACGTGAAGCAGATTGTGGAGATTTCTTGCCAAAAGAAGTGGGTGTCGGGTTTATTTGTTTTGTTTTTTTGTTTGTCAGTACAGTTCCAGGTGGAGTCTAGAGCCAGCACAGTATGCCATCTGATCAGGCAGTCAGAGGTCCCCCTTGAGAATCCACACTTTATGGTGGGTACCTTCCTGCTTCACTTAATGTCTGCTCCATATGGTTGAGGGCTGTACTGTGGAGGATTCCCACATTTGGCTCACGGCCTAGGAGAACCGTGGTGTTCCCATATGCCTGGTGAATGTGCATTGGGAATGTTGCCGCCTTCTGGGACTCATTGCTCGGTACTGGGATCAGAGCATCAGCCAGAACTGGTTTCTCTCTCTAATCCAAAAATTAGCACAAAGTGTGTCTAATGTCTAAGATAGTCTTGAGTATTTTGAGGTTTTCTTTGCCTCTGCAAATCATCCACAATGTCAGGGTTATTCACTAAAGTGAGAATTGTCAGGAATTCAAAGTGAATTTCACATTTAAAACCAAAGTAGCTGAACTGGAAGCATAGCTGATTTGAATTTTAAATTAACTTTGAATTCCCAGAAATTCTCACTATAGTGAATGACCCTTTGTAGGTTGGACATGGGAGTCTCACACAGACTGGATGTAACTGCTGCTTATCTCACACACATGGCGGTTTCACTATATAAAGCTCCAGCACAGGGGTGCCCAAAAGGTAGTTTCCCAGATGTTGTAGAACTACAACTCCCATAATGCTTTGCATCCCTTCAGAATGACAAAGCATCATGGCTGCTGTAGTTTTAAAACATCTGGGTATCTACCTTTTGGGCACCGCTGATCTAGCACCTCAGCAGCAGAGACTGAGATTACCTGCACAGGTCCAATGGGGTTTCAAAGGATACCGCTTCAGAGTAGTCTACACTGCCTCCTGGTGGGAGATTAGCCACATTCCCTACCAGGACAGCTGACCAAGCCTCAGAATATGGCAACCTGAACACTCAATGTATCGACAAGGTAAGTACGCACTATAAAGCTTATGTGATACAAATGCGTTCTCTGTCAAGTTATCACCAACTGAGCTTAAGGTTTGAGACTAAAACACTGTAAAACTTCAAATATCATGTCTTGAATAGTTTAAGAGCTGACTATCTATGTCTGTTTGACATGGGCCCCCGAAGTGTTCAGCAGATTTTTCTTGATTTGAGTATTACTTTGGAGATTCTGCATCTTGTAACACAGACTCAAAATATATTTAGTATCCTAAAATCTTAGGGCACTAGTGTGTTCCTCATTTTACTAGTCCCCTCTGTGGTCCCTTGCTGCATCTCTAAATGAGCATTCACTGAATTTCCCCACTCCAGTTTGTTACAAGTTTGTGATTCTATCATTTTATTTGTTACCGCTACCATGAAGTGGATTATGTAGTCCAAAAGAGCCAGATTTGTAAAAAGTCTTCTATGTTTCTTGTTCAGCTATTTGTGGCCTTACATTTTCTATTCCCTAGTGATTTGCTAATAATTCACAATATAGTGAATAAACCATTCAGAGTGATGTACACCTGGGAGGAATTGTATGACTTGGTAATACTTTATAGGGTCCATTTATCTATATGTCCATACAGACATTGCTTATCTATCATCAACTAACTCTAAATATAATCAGCAGTAAAAAAAAAAGTAATACAAGTGTTGATTTAAATCTGTCAGTATTTTGCCTATTTAGAGCACTCATAATGTGCTTTTTGGAGCTGGTGAGGGAGATCATGTTTATTCTCCTTGCATGGAGAACGGTTACGTCAAAAAGCCTATTGTACCTTAAAAAACCTATAAATAAAGAATAAAAAAAAAACAACACAATATGTAACAACTATGTATAATAGAAGAGTAATTCGGAACACTCACAAATTTGAGAGTGAAATAATAGTGGGCTCTGCACTATAAAGGCATATCAGCAATTCCAGATGTAGACAGGGTGCAGCGTTTCAAATATCAGGTCCACCAAAAGTAGTAGTAGTCCTCTCAGGATAGTCAGGAACCAGTATGACTTTAAAACGTTTCTATTAACATAATATATAAAGCAAAAAAAATGACACTGAGGGGTTTTAACCCACTAAGGGGTTTTCCTCAGGTGGATACAAATACAGTACTGACCATATGGTCCTTAAATACCCTCTCATAAACAACATTACTAATTACAGGTATGTAAATGTCCAAATATGGTCTGGTTGGTGGTCTTTCCCGCCCAATCCAATATGGAGATCAATATTTTGGCTCTCAAATGTGTGAGTGTGAGAAGTTACTCTTATATTATACATAGCTGCTTGTTTTATATTAGGTTCCATTTACCATTTTGAGGTATTTCTGACCAATGTGTGCGCAGTCACCTTTATTTTCCTTTAAAGACGTATGTATTAAGTGTTTGTTGTGACATTACCCTTGGGTGATATTTAAGCTGCACCATGTAATCTTGGTACTGCCACCTATCCTTAAAATCTTTTTGTACTAGCTATTCATATGTTTGATAGCAGAGCTGCTCGAAGGTTATAGAGGATGTAAAACTCAATGCTGTCCTAGCTCCTCCAGTGTCTATGTGTGAGGCTGGACAGGAAGAGGAAGCGGTCACTTCCCATCTGTCCTCTAACACCATCTCACATAGGAAATGCCTTGCAGGAGGAGCAACTCTGAGTGATGCACACTTATAACAGCTCCTGCAGTTCAACTATCAATCATAGGGGGTGAGTACTTTGTACCCTAAACACCCCTTTCTTCCCTAATCCTCCCAAAACCAAAACTAACATTTTCCTTATTCCGAATTTAAGCACTCAAAGCCTAAAACTGAAAAAATCCTTTACCTTACTCCTAGGTTTAATTCTTCTTAAAAATGAATCACAACTTGTACCCCAACACTAAATTTAACTCCACTCTAACCCTAGATTTAATAATTCTAAAATGCCCTTATGCCACAAATATAACCTCTCTCAAGCTTTTAAGTCACGTAACAGTAAATACCCTATGTAATCTAACCCTGACATTAACCCATCTACACTCTTTTTTTTTTCTTTTTATATATTTTTTTTTTTTAGGAATATATCAAGTTTTTGACAATGAAAAAATACAGTGTGATCATACAAGTGTATTGTCACATTGTCATAATACGTAACTAAAGCCATGTTGTCGAGCAGCAGCTTTGCACAAGCTGCAATAACTGGAGTGAGTTGATTCCATTGGTCATTTAGGCTCTTCCAGAACCATGTGTAGAAGGCATCAAATGCCCTTACAAAAGCCTTCTTCCCACCACTGGCTTTTTTCCTTCTCTGGGAACTTAGCAGAAAAACGAACGTCGTGGATGATCCGCGTGCGAGCCAGCCAACTTGATGATTCCTAAGAGCAGGTAAAATAGTTCTTGGTGGGGACCATGACAAACCCCAACAGTCTGGGAGGGGAGTGCAGGATCTAGTAGAATGACAACAAAGCCATTGCTATCACAGTTGGAAAGATAGGCTGTGTCTACCCTCAAGGGAATTCACCAGAGACTGTAGACCGGATCTCCTCGGCTACAGCGTTGAGAGTAGTCTCAGCTTGCAATACAGATTCCCAGTAAGAAACAGAGTAGCTGATTAGTTGATTTGTTGCATGAAATGGCAATGGAATGGCTTATATGTTAAGATTGCAAAGGAGCACATACTTGCTGCGACTATTGAGCCTGTCAGTCAATCCCTGCTCCACGTCTTAAAGGACAACCGTCACTAGAATTTATTTATTTTTTATTAGAAGAATCCTTGCAGCATGTAATGAAAAGATATGGCATTTTTAAAAATAAATTATATGTAAAAATTCCTGAAAATCTGACCCCTACTTCCACAGAACACTAGATCCATCTGCCATATTCATAAACCTTTGGTCGAACTGAGGTAGAATCCGACCGTTAATCTTCTGCTTCATGCATCGAGCAGTGAAGTCATCAACCATTGCCCTCTGATCTGCCAGGTCCGAATTCCGACCGCATTTGCAATTCTCATGTTTACTAAAGCAAAATGGGGTCAGAATTCCGTCTGTCCGACCGATTCTGTTACATTGGTTCGAATTAGATATAACGGGGCAGGACATAATGCCCCCCATGCTTTGTTCTCACAGGAGAGCTGTTCATGAACTTTAGGTTTACTACAAAGTCATATAATGCTTTTACATTGAAAAATAACTTATCATAACTATAACAGAAAGGGAGTTTAAAAGACCTGGCTAATGTGTGAGTTCCACATCCTCACACCATGCTTGGCAGTGAGGTGTTACAAAAGAAAAAACTCTGTAGGACTCTCTAATAACCAGGGAAAACATACATACATACATGTACATGGTCATTCCTATTCTTAAAAACCCCGTACCTGGGTTCATCAGCAAGGCCCACATAGGTAAAAACCTATAAATAGTCTGCTGACCCATTAATGCACAAATCACCCATTTGTTAAAAGTAAATCTGGCACTATTCCTTCCAATCCTCCTCCCCAAATAGAAAATGTGCCCGGATACCCAGTTTTCCAGACGTATGTATCCCAATAATATTTACAAGTTTACAAAGGACACTACAACTTTATATATATTTTTTTTTAATTCTTTATTTTATTGACGCATGAGATTATGGTGGTACAGAAAAAAGAGAGGGAGACTTGCAAGAGTTATACAGGTTAGGGTCATCATAACAGATTTCAGAAATCTCCTAGAATTATTAGCTTCGTTTTATATTATATTAACAAGTTTAAACCATTGAGTTGATGCTGAGCTACATACATATGTAATGCTGCAAGATATAAGTACATGACAATTGTTACTTAAGATTTAGCATGAATGAACATTAACGAAAAAGGGAAAATAAACCTGTGGCAATTTAAGAGAGACAGGAGGCAAATAACAGGGGGCTCCTCGGGGTACACATGTCAGCAGCATCTACATGGCTATCACAAAAGATCTTTTGGAATCAAAATAAGCAGACTATCATGGCATAAGTGATCGTGGCTGGCAAGGAGTGTTTAGTGGAGCAGTCCTGTGCCCTAGCGTTGATCCTCTATGTCAGCCGATGCCAACACGAGCTGCATGCTTGTGCTTCTCTACAGGTAGGTCACTGGGTTCCGTCAGTCCCATTGCCCTGGAGACCCCAACTGTAAGGGCCCATGGGCCACCGCTAACCATCCGCTGGATATGCAGGTGAGCACACAACTGAAGCCCTCTGGACCTCGCCCACCCGGTGTATGATCCTGTTGCTTGAAGGTGGTGTAGTGGATGAGTGCCTGCTAGTGCTCCCCCAGGGGAGGTCGGCAAATGGGACCTCAGAGGCTCCGACCAGTCACGTGGTTCCACTGCTTGCTCGGGTGTTGCTGGCTGCTGCAGTGTACGCCAAAAGGGCTCTGGGCTCCTCAATTTTGGTCTAAATTCGGCACCTACATGGTCTGTTGTTTCCATATAGTCGGTTACAGATGTCTGAGGTGCTCACGGCCTCGTGGTCACTGCTGGGTTGCATACGGTCGCCATCTTGAGGGTTCTGTCAGCCAATGCGAGGTCTGTAAATCCCAGAGGGCCCGCAAGCTGGAGCGCCACAGGGTGAGAGTGAGGTTGCCGGGATGACCCCCACCGGCAGGGGGGGGGGGGAATTCCAGGGTCCGAGCCGACGCTTCAAAAGCTGGGCAAGTTACGTGTGAGGAGATAGGCCGCCTCTCCGGCACCCGCTTCATCCAGTAGGCCGCAACATGGCACATGTGCAAAATTATCAGCGGTGCTCCGGAGTGCCCCTAGATTGGTTGCACCTCAGCTCCACAGGTTTACTCAGGGTTTCCAAGATTTGTGGAGCTGCTGAGAGTCCAAAATGTGCCTTAAATGCAGGGCTTCCCACGGAGCTCAAGCCAAGTGCAGCCGCTCAGCATGGCAGTCAGACCCCGCACCCCCGACACTGCAACTTTAACTTTGCATTGTTAAACCCCCAGAAAAGCTAAATGTGATTGTCTGGAACAACCCAGTTATCAGAACTTTTGTGTGTAGAATATTTAATATGGTATTTTCATGGTATATTAAAGCGGCACTGTCATGCTGAACTTACCTTTCTTTAATTGATTCCTCTTCTCTCCCTCTGTCAGGATCTGTTCTTCATTTCTTCCTGTCTGCTCTAGTTTTCTTTAAAACATAAGACAAAGTAGGGACTATTTTGTCTTATGGAGGTTTCCTATGCCTAACCATCTCTGACTAGCGGAGGAGCAAAATGTTCTTCGTTTCCTGTAGTCAGAGAAATTTTCCCATACTGCTTACATTTCCTCCGTGATCTTGCGATGCCTCCTGTCACTTAGACAGAACGCCGGCGAAACTACGGAATTTCGTCCTAACAGAATGAGAACAGTTTGTTCATTCATGTTAGGACGCAATTCGGGACTTTGTTCAGATCGGAATTTCATTTGAATGAATTAAATTCCGATCCGATTCGTGCCGCAGCTGCATCTTGCAGCCGCGTAGTAGATAACTCTCTAATTCCCACGGTATTAGGGAGCTATCTACCAAAAAGCTGAAAGACCTAAATTGGTATTTCAGCCAAATTTACTAATACTTAGTATTAGTAAATTCTTAGTAAAGGCTGCTCACTGTTGTAAAAGAAAATGAAAAAAAAAAACTGGTGTCCTCCCTCCCAACCCCCACGTGTGCCACGCGAGTGGAGGTTATTAAACTGAAGGGGGGACCTAGCGCCCCCCCAGCCCCCACCCATGAGCGGTGGGTGAGGGCCCTATATTAAAATGGGAGGGAACCTATTGTCCTCTCGCCGGCCCCCACCCATGAGCGGCGTGTGGGTGCCCTAAAGGAAAATGTGGGGCCTATTGTCCATCCCCCCCCCACCCCCATGGATGATAGGTGGGGGCTATATATAACCTCTTCCAGGTGATTAGGAGTCCCCAAGCCAAAAACCAGATGAAAGAAAAACAACCCAACGCTAACAGCGAGGGCAAAGTGCAGACTGAGCTCCGCAGGGCGGGGAAAGGCTTCCCACGCCCTGCAATTTGACTTAGAGCACTTTAATTGGTTGATTCCAAGCCAACCAATCAGAGTGCTCTGACAGGTAAATGAAGAGACTGACAGATAAATTTGACTTGCAATTCAATCAGAGTACTCTGTGTCATTTTAAACAGCATGGGAAAGTTCTTTGCAATTTTCCCATGCTGTGTTATTTGACTCAGAACACTGTGATTGGTTGCTTTCAATTTGAAAAGGGGGGTCCCCCCCATTTTCATTTAGGACCCCCACACGCCGCTCATGGGTGATGGCCAGGGGAGAGGACAATTGGTCCCCCCCATTTTAATTTAGGGCCCCCCACTCGCCGCTCATGGGTGGGGGCCAAGGGGGAGGACAATAGTTCCCCAACCACCATTCATGGATGCTAGGTCCCCCCTTCAGTTTAATAGCCCCCACTCACGCAGCACGGGTGGGGGCTCGGGAGGAGGGACACTAGGGGGCTTTTTTGAACAGTGAGCAGCCTCTGGTAGCTCCCTCCTTGTAATAAAACAAACGAACAAACAAAGAGGTCTTTGTTCATTAGTTTGAAATTTCTATTAATTTATTCGTCTTTCTGACGAATGAATAAATAGATGAAATTCCCGTTCGCATGTCCAAGTGTTTAACTGGGCCTGCGCGGGAATTTCACAGCACTATCTAGTGTTGGCAGATGACGTGTCCCACAGGGACTTCATCTACCCATACAAAGATGGCGGCGCCAAGGACCTAGGTCCGGGCAGAAAATGAAGATTAAAAAATAGGTAATATAGGGGCTTAGGGGCATTTGTGGGTGACAATTAGATGTAGTGGAGTCAGGAGAGGGTTTTAAAAAACTATTTGGCCATGACAGTGCTGCTTTCAGTTAGAAAATCACTTTGTACTTGTGATACTTTATAACAATGCTAGTCTTCACATTTTTTAAAGTTGTGAAAGAATGATTTATAATCATTTTGTTTCCCACAAACAGTCACTGGATTAATTCTACAATTCTTATCACAGGGAAACATCACTCCAATGTATATCCAAACATTTTACCATTACAACAGACAAAATCCCTTAAATATAGATTTTAATTTTACTGGAGAACATGTCAGCAGAAAGATAAGACACAAGCAGTGGGCATAGTAAGAGATATTATATACTATATTAATCAAATAACTAGAGTACTTAGAATTTCAAGTCAATTTTTCTTAGGTCACGTGATCAGACATGTGTTTGATCATGAGGGAAACTGCTGAAATACAATAGAACTTATTGTGAACCTAATGTATTCCCAAACCTCTTTAATGTCAGATCATATTGTATTTTTATTTTGTTGGCCTTAATGGACACCATTCAGTCTGTCACCTTGGAGGAAGCTTACTAATGGACAGATGTATTTATAATAGTAATTAGTAGTATTGAACACAATGGGCCATATTCTTTGAGGGGGGAAAACACAGACCTATTGAAGAGCAAATCTTAACAACTAGTGATGTCCCGAACGGTTCGCCACGAACGGTTCGCCACAGACTCATCATTGAGTAAACTTTGACCCTGTACCTCACAGTCAGCAGACACATTCCAGCCAATCAGCAGCAGACCCTCCCTCCAAGACCCTCCAACCTCCTGGACAGCTCACTAAGAATGCAGCTTCACAATGAATGTAAAATGGATGCTGTCCAGGAGGTGGGAGGGTCTGGGAGGGAGGGTCTGCTGCTGATTGGCTGCAATGTGTCTGCTGACTGTAAGGTACAGGGTCAAAGTTTACTCAATGATGAGTCCGTGGCGAACCGTTCGTGGCGAACCTTTCGCGAACCGTTCGGCGAACCGTTCGGGACATCACTATTAACAACGCTTAACTTGGAACAGTCACCATCAAAACAAACTTTTTCTGTCAGTTGGTGTTTCCTAGAAAATACATGCATTTTGCCTTAATAATTTTGACACTTAATAGCCCTCATTGAAACCTGGCTCTCCTCCCCAGACACAGCATCTGCTGCTGCTGCTCTTTCCTATGTTGGCCTTCAGTTCAGACACAATCCCCGATCTGGAGAAAGAGGAGGAGGTGGGGTTGGTATTCTTCAATCCCTGTACTGTAACTTTAACACTACCCCTCCGTAACGTCACTCACTCTTCTCATTCCTAAGACCTTTACCACCTGTTTCTTCCTGTTTGTTTGCTGCAATGATCTCTTCCCCCGTGTGCAATCCACACGTTTTTCACCTTCCTCAGGCTGGTTCCTCGTTTTCCTGGTATTATAAAGGGTACCTTGTAATGTCTTCATGGATCACAACACTTGAATTGTTTTTTTCATTATGTACCTTCACTAAATTAATCTTTTTTATTACAACTTCTTGTTTTGTTAGTACCCAACAACTTAGTCTTAAGATCTTTAAAAACAACTTTTCTCACCCTTTCCAGTTTCCCTTAAAAAAGGTAGTTCTGGTCACTTTCTTCCCTTTGTCTTGCATTCCTACCCAAAAGACATGCAAAATGAATCAGGTAAAGGGCTCCTACATTGCAAAACATTGTTACAGGGGATTATATTTAACACCACACTTTCCCCAGTATTGTTTCTTTTACCTGTCTATATCTAATCCATTCATCCTCTCACGTTTTCCCTCTGTCCTCTGTAATTGGATTTAAAGGAACACTATAGGATCAGCAACCCAAACGTGCAGTCCCAACGCTATAGTTTTAAAATCCCATTTTAGATTTCCAGGCTCCATTTTGCCCCCCTGTAAAAAAAATAATATAAAACTCACATTTTTTTCCAGCTCCATCCACGCTCCACCCCCTTGCCTGAGATCATCAAAACTGACAAACTCAGCCAATCCAATGCTTTCCCACGGGAAAGCTTCGGGAGACTATTGCCGCACTGCACCAATCAGCATCTCCTCATAGAGATGCATTGTATCAATGCATCTCGATGGGGAAAGTTCTGCATTTCCTCGTTGTGCAGCACTGACTCTGGAAGCACCTTTAATGGCTGTCTGAATGACAGCTACTGGAGGTGTCGCTAGGCTGTAATGTAAACACTGCCTTTTCTCTGAAAAATAAAGTATTAACAGCAAAAAGCCAGCATGGACTGACTATGCACACCATAACAACTACATTAAGTAAGCTGTAGTTGTTCCGGTGACTATAGTGTCTCTTTAAATCCCAACATTCAATACTACAATACATTTTAGCCTTTTCCAGCCCTACAACAGTTTCTACAGTATGTCTATCACTGGATTCACTTCTTCTCTGCTTTGCTGATCTTTGCGGTGTCTTTGCGTGACATTTATGGCTGGTGTTTTCTATCAATCCTTCTTCTCCAGGAGCTCAGTATATTTTCCATTACAATACGTTGGAACATTGCATAGATGCCATCACTGAAAGACATATTTCCAGAGATGGCGTAGAGCACATTTATTAAATGGTGAAAAGATGTTGTGTAAAACCCCTATATTATTGTACGAAGTTTCACATAGACTGCAAGAAGAAACGATTTATCATTTGCGTTTTCACTCTCAAAGCATGAACAGTTTCTCCCCATGTTGTTATTTTCATAATGAAGCAGGAAAGGAGAAGGAACAAGGCTCGAGTGGGAATGGACAATAGGGAAAATAAGCTTTGAGTAATAGGGTTATAGGCAAAGATGACGGTGATTGACAAAATATTATTGCACTGGGGCACTTATTCCTATCCTGGAATTCCTCTGTAGACCATGTTTTATCAAGGCAAAAAAATGCAATTTTGAGGCAACGTCCTGTATTGTGTGAGGTTTTGTTAGAAATTGTTATCCACTTATTTGACTTGGATTAATTTGAGATACAGTCATTAATAACATCATCTCAAGATCAATACTCCGAGAACTTTGTTAATTACAAACATCATGGGTCCATCTTGGAGTTATCTAAACAGTTTGATCCCTTTTTATAGTACAGTGGTTATAGTAGGTGACATGTTATCGTTAACCTGTTGTATACCCAATCGGCATTGATATGTATGTATGTTTCTTTCAGTTTGTTCAAATCGGACATTTTGACTACAATGTTTATTGTTATAAATTTCGCCATTTTTGTTTTGTTGTGACAGTTTGGCTAACCAGCTGATATAAATTGTATCAGAATGGTGAAATTGTGAGCACTTCTATATGTTAACAGCTCATCGCCAGTCATTAACACATTGATAATTCTCAAATGAAAGATTGTAATAATTCTATGATATAAGATAACACCATTCCAATATAAGGCCTAAAAACTGAACATAAATGTTCGCCTTATCTCAAGTTTTGTCAGCTGAAACTTTGACAATAAGAGATAATAATCCCTTTATTGTCTTATGATATATTTTGATAACATTCAGGTTTTAATGAAATTCAACACTGTCAATGTAGTAAAGTGAATCACAGGAAGGGCACATGATGGGCACATGACTAGCACTTAATATTATGGAATGCTTTTGATAATGGCTAGATACCGTTTCACAGAAGGGGTAAAATGTATATTTAGAACTATAGAAGCAAAATAGAGACTAAAATTAGAGATTGGAGTAGATCGGGTAGGAATATAAGGGTTATTTCTCTGCTGTACAGTGTGGGCTCATTTCTAAGATTTTATTACATTGTAATTTAACAAGAAATAATATATATATATATATATATATATATAATACCTTGTACATCGATTCTTTATGCACTCTGATGTGTACAGACAATACTAAAGTGTATTCATTTCATACATTTACACTGTCTGGATGCATTTTACAGGGAATGTGTGAGTTTAAAATGTATGTCCTAAGTGTTTTATATTATTAGATTAATGTTTGATTTTTTTAAATGTATTATTGGCATTTATAAAGCGTCAACATATTACGCAGTGCTGTAAAATTGGGAAAAAGACAAACACAATACGAACATACCAATACAACAGGTAGAGGACCCTGCCCATAGGGGAGATGAGACTAGAGATAGCAGAGGAATTTGTTTGTGATAACAGAGATAATTAATAATATAACTGCAGCAGCTGGTAACGTGTGAAGTGAATGAGGAGGTGATTGACTATGGTTCCAAACAGCTGGAGGTGCATGCTGTATAGTTAGAAGGTACCAGGGTAGGTGAATGAGTAGAACCAAGTGAAAATAAATGGTCTTCTTGTTCCAGGGATGGATGTGGGTTTGGACCTTTAAAGCTGCAGTGTTTAAATTAAACGGTCTTCTTGTTTAAAGCCGCAGTGTTTAAATGGTAACGCTAAAATCTTTGATACATTTTGCTAATGTCTGTTAAATCCTTTCACTGTGCCTTTTACTCAGATGTGGTTACTAAACATGTCTATCATCAAGAAATAGTACTAACCCTGAATAAATGCTGGTTTCCATGTATTTCTCTAATGCCATATGTAATTAAAGGGACACTCAGCTGCCCAAAATACAAAATAAATAAAAATTACTGTTTAGTAGATTCACTCCTAATTAAGAAATGCATGTATTTAATAATGCATTTTCTCATTGGGGATATATCTAAAAACAGCCTGCTAAACCTGCAGAACTCTTGTCTGTTGCCTTTGCAAATCTCCCACTTCTAAAACCGCCCAGACTTTCTGTGACTGTCCAATTGCAGGCTTCCCAATGCAGCTCCATGAGAAGTCTTTGCCAGTTGATGCCTCTTGAGGTGAGTTCCACTGAGCTAACCAAACCAGGAAGTAACAATATTGTTGGCTGATTGACAGCCAGTGGGCTGTAACCAGGTTCATTTATACGTGTTAATTTCTCTAGAAATCTGCACTTTTTCCAAAATGAAAAAGAGAGGACACACTTTAATGATTGAATTCGAAATAACCCATTAACACAGGTCGAGATTCTCTGCAATATAATAATTAGCCACGTGATTACTGTCACTGTTATTGGTTTATTGTGTCGTTTCTTTTTGCTCATTTTTGGTGCGTACAAGGCACATGTGTTTGCACCATTCCTACCTCCTATGCAATAAGGAAAGGGCGAGCAATTCTTGGGGGTGCAAACTTGTGTCACTGACGATGCTCAAAATAGGAGTGTCTGCCTTGTGTGAATGCATTCCAGGCTTACTGACAGGCCCCAATAAATGCAGACCATGCAGAGAAAGCTGTTAAAGATTTTCTGCCTGGTCCTGGTGCCCTCAGTACAGTGTGAGTACATCTAATGATGCAGGACGCCAGGTCACCAACCTAGGATAGAAGGACGGGAGCATGAAATGAGGGCTGACCCATCGAAATCAGGATAGTTGGCAGGCCTGAGCATTGAATAAGAGTGACCTTGTTAGCATTTCATTTATTTTTTCTGTCTATATCAAAGAATGATAAGGTAAATAATGCTAGTGTTAAAATTAATATCATAGTGTTGGTTCGTGGATGGGCCAACCATACACGTATCATGATTTGTTATGCAAAATAAACTCCCACTGTTATTTTCTCTGCATTTGATTTACTGTTTGGCAGCTTGAATGTCACATATAGCATGTAAGAAAACAGGCTCTGATAATGGTTTATTTTAATATGTCTTTATAGTAAACTGACCAGGGAGAGTGGTACTGACTTTCCAATCCCCAGTGTGCCTCCATCACCAGACCATGATACCCAGAGACTAATTCGAGAAAAGGATGAGGAGGTAACTGCAACTGTTTTATTTTTCTTATGAAGTCAGGTGTTATATCATCCATTACAACTATCCAGGACTTCTCCACCCTTATGTTAACCTAAATATAATGCAAAGAATGTTACATAGATCAGAACTACACTCTAATGGAAAAATAGGACCAATGAGGTCATACGGTTAAGGAGGTGGAAGTAGACACCTCACACTTAGCTATTTACAGAAAACAAGGTTCCTGCACAAAATATACAAAAAAACAGTAACAACTTGTCACTAACAAAATCCGAGCTGTGTGAGAAAAGTAAAGTGCATTATGAGCAATACATTTCAACTTCCCTATATCTGGGCTTCATTCACATATACATATAACATTATTTGGATAAAATATATCAGAACCAGCAGAAAATCATCATGGCAATGTCCTCTGTACGGCCTGGTGGATCCACCTAAGTAATTCTTTAAATACGTAGCAATACAGCTGGCTTACACTGATTCCATGGAGAGTTAGCGTATCCATAGTTTCTGATCCACCTGTATCATCAGTGTGTAAAAAAAACATCAAAAGTAAAAAAGAAAAAAAATCAAAAACAAAATACACTAATTTTTAGTTAATTGTGAATTTCACTGACCCAGTAATTTGTTCCATTCAAATGCTTTACAGTTCTGCATGACCGTTTCCTATTATATGTGCCTCTGTTTACACTCCTCTTGCTGGTTGTGCTGGCTGTGGTTTCAGTATGCTTCTCCTGATTTATCTGTTATCGATTAAGCTCATTATTCAGACTGTAAGGAAAAAATGAGTTTGACAAAGTTTGTCTAGGGATCCAAATGTACGCAGACAGACACTTCAAAAATGGCTTCAGCAAGTAAATGTCCTATTTATTGAAGTACTATTCAAAATATAATTTGACAGAGAAAGTATTAATTACAGCACGTACAAGATGCAAATGTAGACAAAATTACTTGTGTAAGTGGGTAAAAACAAACCAAAAAGTCACAGTATCTGTTTTCCTGTCCCCCTTGTGTACTGTTTACTATAAAGACAAAATGTGTTCAGATAGTTGCTTGCTTGAACCAATAAGTAATAAGCTTCCCGGTTGACTTAAAACATCAACAATTTATATGATATCCTTAAGAATTATATAAAAAAATAACATGATTTTTTTTTTTTTATTCTTTATTTTTGTTTGTGCATGAATTAACAATCTGGCTTGCTACGCCACAATGGCTGTAGGAAGCCTTTCAATAACAGAACATAACATGGCATGAAATATACTGTGCTCAATTTATGTTTCAAGGCATTTCAGGTGCGAGATTTTGTCAAGACATAGTATAGGGTACAAGCGTTTCTAATCGTCTATGACAATAGTATGTGTTGAAGATCATGCTTAAATTACATTCTAAACCGAATAACATTTCTTAGGTTAGGTCCCTGGATGTCTGATTAAGATGCACACTTTAAAGGATAAAATAATAATCAAGAGACACAGGCTGGTCATTTGCGATAGATCTCTAAGATAAGAAACAAAACTGCAGAATCCTGGCTAGCATGTTAGATTATTACAGGCTGGTTGCCAGTAAGGCTAGTTAGACAGGCCAATCTAAAGCAGCGATTATGACATTACTTGCTGAACATAAACATGCTAGATCTTGCTAAGTGAAACAGTTGAGTGACTAACAGTTGTAAAAATTTAGATTTGTGAGAAATAAAAATGTTAAAAGCAGGAGTATATTTTAGGTTAATATAGGGCAGTAAGATCATGTGCTCGATTGAGAGGGTGGATGGTTTACACAGTGGCTGAAAGCTTTTCGAGGGAGATACTTTTGTTAAACAGGTATATAACCATTGTAGGAGCATATTGGTTGCTAGAGAGGCTCATACTATGTGGGGCAGTTGATATCAACATGAAAGCGAATGTAACAGCCCTGTGGGGGCACATGCGACAAGCAATAAAATATTAGAGCACACAATGTGCAGGGAAATGACACAATCAAAATACTGTTAGCTATGCCCTCAGGTTCTGCTTCAGGGTATCGAAGGGCAGGGCAGGTCCAGGAGCAGTTCTTATCGATCAGCCTCTATCCAGTCTGGAGGCCAAAAGCTTGATCCCAACTGCAGGGCCACAAGGAAACTTCAGCTGGAGGCTGTATATTGGGTCCGCCAACAAGAGCCGACGACGGTCGTTTCTCCTGACCCGGCTGGAAGTTTGCAGCTGGATGCTACCCTTTATTAGGGCGGATCAGCGCTGCTTGTCATTCTTTCGGGCTTGGCCGCCATGCAGGGTGGAGGGAAGCCAGGGTGCCCACTGTTTTGAGCATGGAGGGAGGTGCAGCTTAAGGTGATCATAGGAGCCGCAGTGAGCTGATTGGGTTGAACTCACCTGCGGTTCAGTCAGCGAGAGTGGGTTCGCCATCTTGAATTTTGGTGCGCTGTCAGGCAGGTGGCCCCAATATAGTGAACCTCTCGGGTCTCCCCTCCTCTGCATGCCGATGCGACTCACGGGTCGGGGTTTTCCATTCCCGCCTTTCCGTCACTTGCAGGTGATGCAGGGGCCCCTTTGCTTGCCGTAGCAGTAACCCGTGGGCCGTCCTGGCCATTTATGCTCAGCTCCCTGCTCCAATTGTCGACCAGCTCCCGGTCTCAGCTTGGTAGTGGTGGGTGCTCTCTGGCCTGACCGGGTGCGTGCTACCTTCTCGTGCGGTGTGGTCTGGTGCAAGTACGTAGCTTGCACTTGGGGTTTCGAGGTGGGTGATCGAGCTGTCTGCTCACGCTGTTTCTTCCCCTCCATCGCAGCCCAGAACCTAGTGAAGATTAGATCCAGTTTGGCCAGAGTAAAGTTGACAAGTGTCTCCCTGAGTCTCCAGTGGTGGTCTCCGCCGTCTAAGGTGCCACGTGATGCCTCCCCACACTGAAACGGCGGGTGCGGGCTTAGCGGTGTGAGAGCTTCTGGGACTGGGATGACCCCCACCGGTCTATGGGGCGGGGGGAAGGGTGCAGAAGTCAGCTCTGTTTAAGGAGATGCAGTGTCTGGTGAGCGGCCGTCTCTCCGACTTCTGTTGAGCTTGCAGGCCCAAAGAGTGGAAAGTAGGTAGTTTGGACCTGGAGAGTTCCGTGTCCAAACGATTCACCCGGAACCCCACAATACTGCAAGTCGTGTTCTGTGGTAATTTCTGCAGGTTGACTGGTTTAAATTGATTATTTGGCCCGCCTAACTCAGGAGCACATGTAGGACACGTCTGCTCAGTTTGCCAGTCAAGCTCCACCCCCATAACATGATTATTAAACAGTAAGAGCAGCCATCGTCTTTCTCATTTTGCTATGTGGGCTGAGCAATACACTTTTCTCAGTCTTGGTGACCAAAAATTATACTTTAAGTCTGCAGTTATATCTACTCCAAACCAGTATTTTGGGAATACACATTCACAGAGTGTTGCTGGCAAAGTGTAACACTAAGATAAAAACTTTAAACCTGAAATCCAAGTAAAATACATTCTATATTTATTAAAGTCTTAAATGTATTAAATGTCTGGATGGAACAGTGCCATAAATAACTGCGATATCAAACATATCTCAAGCAATTTGTACACCATACAGCTAATTACAAGTAATTGGACACAATAGGCATATGGTTGTTGGTATAAGACATCTGGTTTGTTTTCAACATTTGCAGAACTGAAAAAAATGAGCATGTATTTTTGGAGACAAATATATATATAAAAACATATATAATAAGAGAAGGAAAGCTAGCACTGCTTAGCAACAATGGAACTGACTCAGTTATCAGCCACAATATTAACTCTTTCACTAAAGTGGAATTGCAACGTGACTTCGTAGTGAATCTCAAATTTATGGTCAAAGCATTCGACTATTTTGACCTTGAATTTGAAACTCACCTTGAATAACCCTGTTAGTAAACACTGAAGGAGTTATTTGCTAATCATTGATATGTGTCTACAAGTAAATTGTAAGATTTCAGCCGAAAAGGAGTTGGAGTATTTCTTTGATTTTGGCGGAAACTTTAAAGCTGGTGGTCACGCCAGTTCACCACACTTTTGGGAAACATGATTAGAAGACCTACACGTAAAGCAACATGGTACAGAGGAGTTAACATCCCTTCTTGGTGCTTTGTACAGATAACGCATTCAAAACATTATACAAAAAAAAAAGCAAAATAATAAAAGAAGAAAAATATTCATCCTCAGTTATCCTAGAACCTTAGCACTTGTTCAGACTAATGCGACAACCGTTCGTTGAACAAGAAGATGATGTGCTCACCAGCCTTCTTTAGTCAATGGGGTCTATCCAAGGGAGGAGGGAGATTTCCATGATCATTGTACAGATCTTCAATACATTTGAAGTAGGAACAGAAATTACAGCATCACCGGAGACATTCCATTGTTGCTTTTCACTCTAAACGTGCTATTTCCCATAGTGTACCTATTTGCAAGGACTCCAAACATGCTATTTCCCAACGTCTACACATTGAGGAAGTGCGTTATCAACACGAAACATGTAATTTTCAACAAGTCTTCAATGAGGCATGTTCTTAAACATGTCAGTGGGCAGGGGAGGGGGGCAACTCAGTTGTGTTTACCCAGAAAATCTGTAAACATTGGTGGGTCTTAAGTCCTTGATATTCTTGACAATTTCATGGAAATAGAACTGTATACTTTCTTAATGAAAAAATTGCCTTGTGTGCTTGCTGAAAAAGAAAGTTGGATGCTAGACATTTTTTTTGACTATATGATAACTGGAAAGTGTTTCTGGATAAATTGAAATCAAACTTCAGCTGATGACTCCTTGTCTATTGTTCTGTGGTATACATTTGCTTTATTGGAGCTCAGTTCTAGCTGTCATTTTTGTATATATCTGGCTTCAGAAGTGACCTTTGTGACCTAACTTGCAAATTTTCTCTTTTCTCTAGTTAAGGCGAATGCAGGAGGTGCTTCAGAAAATGCAGAAACAGATGAAGGAGTCCCATTAATTCTTTGCCGTAGCACTCAACATCCTTTAACAGCGTTTCATAATACCTCAAGCTGATCCTCATTGTGTCCCGCAATAATCACCAAAAGGCCAAAGTTGTACAGAATATATGGATACAAAGTAGACATGTCCCTATATCTACTTGGAAAATTCAGCAATGCAAGTTTCAAGAGATGACATGTAGGAAATGATAGATTTTGGGTCAAGCTTGCAATGAAAGCACAGAAACAAGTCTTTTGAATGCCATTATTTTTGGAGTCGAGCATTTTGGCAATGAATTGGTTAAATAATGGACCATTTTGCAAAATGTATTAGAGAATACAAGGGTGGTTGCAGCAGTCAATAAATACCCATCAGTTAATCCGCATTCTTTAAGTGATGTATCTGATGGACCCAATCCTTCAACGTGTAAGTGGCGGAACAGGTATAACTTCTTGAGACTATTCTACAGATGTGAAACAAGTTGTTACCAAATGGGGTTAAATGAATCATGTGAGACATCTCGCCAACCATGGCCTTAACCCCATTTCTGCCTTTTTGGGAGATATATGTCTTCCTGTATGTGAACATTTTTTGATACATATATTGTCATGTACTCTTTACACACAAACACCATTGACAGGATTTACTAAACAGGTGGTGGAACCTATAGGTTCAAGTGTTCCGTTCACTTAACCATCAATTGTAGCAGCTTTATTGCACTGTAGCTCAGCTAGGCAGATATAGCCAAGCAAAGTCATACTTTTCTATGTTTCTCATCACCCACATGAGATTATTCAAGTAGCTTCCTGGTTGACTTCAGTGGTGGAAAGTTGAACTTGGTAATAAGCCTAGTTCATACAGTGTTCAGGCTGAACTTTGCAACGCTCCATAAAATGATTTAAAAACCAGCTGGATCCCATTTGTCATGGTATTATTCTGATTTAATTTGTGACATTACTGTAGTAAATACTTGTGGCACCAGTTAACATTTTATTGAATAGACATCCAAAGTAAACCATGTAGCGCAGTATGTTGGTACTACTCCTGATTTACTAAACCTAAAAAACTCATGCTTGTATTTGACAAAACCAGATAACCTTAGAGGATTACTAATCAGGAACAAAAACATTTCCTAGGAAGGGAGAGACTTTTTTTTACTTCTAATTATACATTTAAAAAAATACTCTACTAGCAGCTTAGGACCTTTAATTGAATTTATTTTAACAAATTGACCACCCTGGAGAGACACAAATCCAGCATTGCTTAAACTTGGTGTGCCACCTATAAAAACCCGAAGCAAATCAGTGTTGTTTGTTTTATTTCCAATTTTTACGGTCTACACTTTAATATTCTTGTGTTGCTATAGTAACAGCTCTTATAGCATTAATTTACTATAAACATTCTGTAGCTTGTGACATGGCAAAAGGTTAAGGCACCAGTAGCCTGAATCAACAATAATATAGTTAAATGCTTCACAGATTAAAGTTGCTGGTCTTGGATAATGAATCTTAAGTTATATCCCCTATCCCTAGCAACACACAATGTTACCTGGGGAATTTGGAGTCTGCAGTCTGTGGCCTTCCACAATAAGGACACTAATAGCATTATGTCTTTGTTGTGTTGAACACAGTATACAGAGCTGACATAGTGGGAGCAGGCAAAAAACAGACTTCCCGGAAGGGATTGCAGAGAATCAGAATTCCAGGGTGACTTGAAGACTAGTTACCGCAGCACAATATATGTCTCCCATTGTTATACCTCTGTGAATAGATGAAACTATCTGTTATTTACTAAAGTAGGAGTTCAAGGTGAATTTAAAATGTAAGGCCAGAGTATCTGAAATGAAAGCTAGAACATTTTTACAGTTTAACTACTTGGACCCCTGGTGTATTAGCTATCAAATCTAAAACATTGCCATTTAGTGGTTACAACAATGTTCTGATTGCAGGGCTAAGCACACCTCTAGTGGCTGACTTCCTACATAGCAGAGATTTGGGCAGTGAGACGACAGGGGGATGATCTATACACCAAAAATGCTTCATTAAGATAAAGTTGTTTTGGTGCTTAGAGTGCCCCTTTAAAGAAGAACGTTACTGAATTTTATATTTTTTGGAAAATATCAAAACCAATGGAAAATGAACTTATCTCCCCTGTAATTTGTAATATAACTATTTGGAATATGTTTAAAAATGTTAAATCTTCATACAAATATGTCTGCGTCTTTCCTATTCCTATATTTAGTTAATTATTGTGAAAAGCTTATAAACTTGAGGTGATGATTTCCATGTTAATTTCAAGGATACATTTTATACTAAAGTACATTCAGCTGATTTGAATACGTTAAGTACACATCGCTTGTTTCTAAAGTTTGCTCAGAGAGTTAGCCCAATATTAGGAGGGACTTGTGGGAAGTCTTAGTTAATTTGCATAAAGTGCCCTGAATGTATCTGTTCAGAATTGAGTTGTGATGTCAGAGTAACATTTTCTTAATCAATACATAAAAAATATAAAAATAATATATTCTGCATTATTTGACTAATACAGACAGTATTTAAACTCCAATTGAAAACCTATAATTTGGTTAAAAACATATATGGGGGCTGTCACTGCCTAAGAGCAGTGGTTTCCAAACCAGTCCTCAAGGCACGCCTACCAGTCCAAGATTTAGGGATTACCCAGTTGTGTCAAGGTGTTTATTTTTTTATTTTTTTCAAAAAACACAACTGGGTAATCCCTAAATCCTGGACTGGTAGACGTGCCTTGAGGACTGGTTTGGAAGCCACTGCCTGACAGTGATAGTTGATAGTTTTAGTATTAACATTGAGGCAGTAGGACACAGTTAGTGGGGAAAAAAATGTTGACGTTATTATTATTATATTTTTGTCAAGCGCTAACAAATTCCGCAGCTCTGTACAATGGGACATCCCTTCACTTTTTCTGTCCTTTTGGGGTTTTCGTGATAACCTAGTTATAATATCTTATTATGATTTACTTCTCTTACAAAAAATGTCACCGACTGCTCTTATTTGGTTTTATTTAGAGTATTGCTGTTTTCTCACACTGGCCATACCTCCTTAACCCCTTAAGGACCAAACCTCTGGAATAAAAGGGAATCATGACATGTCACACATGTCATGTGTCCTTAAGGGGTTAAAGAATTTGTAAAATAAAGTTAGAAAAAAAACAAACAATATGGATTATTTTGCTTCAGAGAGATCTAAAATATCTGGTTTGCTAATGTGACGAGTCTATCATAATCTCTAAGAACTAGGAGATAGCCATCGTATTGATATTAAGAAAGTAAAGGTGTAAAGCACAATATCAGACATTTATGATGGTTATAGTTGAAATCGATAAAGTGGTATGCTGTAGTGCTTATATTATTCGGAGTCGCCAGGAATTTCTCCACTGTTAAAAGCCAAACTAATTTAAATGGTTTAAAACTTACCTGGATCCCAGAGGCATGTCAGTAAAACCCGTTACCTTTTGGCTTTAGTAATATCAGTTTTTAGAGTTCATAGCTGAGGATTGTCCTCTGACTCTTTAAGTCAGTTAATTTTGTCCAAAGACAGCATGACAGCCATTAGAGGCGTCACATGATGAAGAAGACCCATAGGAAAGTTATTATACTTGGAACTCTATGTCAATCATACAAAAACAACCTTTGCACCTGTCAGTCTGCATAGAAAGTCGAGGGAAGACAGAACCAACATTTCTGGTTTTCCTTCTTAAGTTCAAGACATGCCCTGGCTGTGCCTTGTCTGAAATGGATTGTGCTGTCATGCAATTTATTTATATAGTCCAGATCACCACCAAATAAATTAAATGTCATGTATCACAAAGTTACATGATGTATTCAATTTTTGAGAAATGCCCGTTTTAGCTCCACTCCAGTAACACCCACCTCCAAACCATTCCTTATTTTTGCTTCCTCTCTTCTTATATTTGCCCTACTTGGGGATTCTTTCCTAAATACAGTAAACCTCCTGTAGGAGTGTCACTCCTTTTCTCTACTCCCCAGCCTGCTCTAGCAGCATCCGCTAGGGAAGGTACTGTAGAAAACACCGCGCATGCACCATGCGTGATATATATGGAATGCAGAAGGACCACCTGTAGGAGGTCTTTTCTGCTCTGCCTTGTCAGTCAAATCATCGCCATAGAGTCTGAAGTAAGAGATGGACTTATCTTTAAATAGTTTTTTCTCCCAATCTATGCATTTGCTAGAATTTTATGCTCTTCCAAAAGAGCATCAGTTAACATACCCATTACAGGTACACTTTTAAAGAAAATGGAATATAACATGAAAAATCTAGAATGTTGTTTTATTCAGTGATTGCATTTCCAGAGAAGTGATAGCTCTCCAATTATTTGGTTTATCTCCAGAATTGCTACTAAAATACCTTTTTCCTTTGTGTGTACTATTCCTAGAATTGTATGCTGGGAAATTATCTCCCATGCCCAATCCCACCCCAAAACTGACTTTCAAATTAGTTTTCACATTCTTTAGTGAGCTCAACTAGTATTGGGTCTAGGAACAATTCTATATTTTCATTTTATTTATGTATTAATGTATCTATTGTCATTGTAATTGTGTTTGTAAAAATTGTAAAGCTTTGTATTTCCGGCTTGTGTTGTAAATGTTAAAAGTAAAGAATAATAAATACGATATGCCTTGGATGTGCCTATGAGTTTGGACCATGAACTTAAGCAGGCCTCGGTATTTCAAGTCCTATATTACTAGACCGGCCTAAAGGTTAGTAGCCACTGGAAAACTGGAGGGTCCATGTTGCACACACCAGGGGTGAATTTGTACTTGCCAGGCCTGAATTTTCACTTGCCAATGTCTAGTGAGCAAGTGGAAATTTGAGCACTAAATATGCTTTGCACACATCATGAATTAAAGGGAGACTATAGGCATCAAAACATCTTTAGTTAAATGAAGCATAGATTATGCCCCTGCAGTTTCACAGCTCAAATCTCTTCTATTTAGGATTTAAATCACTTTTGTTTCTGTTCATGCAACCCTAGCCACACTTCTACTGCTTGTGACTCACACAGCATGCATGAAAAAAAAAGGTTTCATTCCAATCAGATGTTAACTTGGTTTAGAAGTTTTTATATTCTGCTATGTAAATTGAGCTTTTAATCACACACAGGAGGCTCATGCAAGCTCTAGCAAGGTATTAACAGAATTGTGGGAAGTCTTAGTTAATTTGCATAAAGTGCCCTGAATGTATCTGTTTAGAATTGAGTTGTGATGTCAGAGTAACATTTTCTTAATCAATACATAAAAAATATAAAAATAATATATTCTGCATTATTTGACTAATACAGACAGTATTTAAACTCCAACTGAAAACCTATAACTTGGTTAAAAAAAATATATGGGGGCTGTCACTGCCTTAGATATAATGAATTCTAAATTAAACAGAATATGCAAAAAAGGCAATTTAAATATTAGATCTCTCTTTATAGAAAGTGTTTAGGAAGGCTGTGCACATCACATGCAGGGAGGTCTGACTTGGACTGTACAAACAGAGTGATTTAACTCCTAAATGACAGAAAATTGAGCAGTGAGCCTACAGAGGCATAATTTATACACCAAAACTGGTTCATTATGATAAAGTTGTTTTGGTGCTGATAGTGTCCTATTAAGAAGTTGAGGATCTAGGTACAAGATGGTTGATTGTGCAGGGTACAGTGTTAGCATGACATGGAGGATTTGTCTTTTAGGGGAAGTTAACTTTAAAGTTCTAAGATGTATTGTTGAAAGCACAAAGGAAACAAACTTAATTTTTAGTAGTTACAGCAACCTTGTTTTATATACTCCTCCGTTCTCAGTCATTAACGTTAACAAATCTTTTGAAGCTACAAGAAAAACTCATTTTTTGGTTTGTTTTTTTAAATGTACAATTTTCATAAATCACAGTTTTTTCAATTTACAATTCTATTCAACAAAACAAGGTAATCATTAGGTGGAGGCACAGTGAATCAAAGTGCAGAGGCCGACTTGGTATATTATGGCTAAAACGTAGTAATTGCAGGCTTTATTCATTACAACTCCAGATTTATTTGACTTCGATCGGTAAGAATGAGTTTAGTTCAGAATATGCCTTACTTGAGTTGAGTACAAGGTTTGTTCAATTTGATCTGGTTTTGGGAGTTTTGAGTACAATTTGTATTGGCCTCCATCAAATCCTAGATTCTAATCTGGCTCACTGGGTTTGTCCTTGGCACTTTTTTTTTCTTAGGTTGATTTATTTTGTTGGCGGGGTTGTTTGTTTGTCTTGGGGGGGATATTGTACCTACCTTCACTAAAAATGCTTGATTCTCACCCAAACAATAGCTTCCTTCTGTCAGCTAAGCATTGAGTTAGTATCATACCTTCATACGTTTCACATCACCTTACAGCCCTCTGATGTGATATTATGATTTCCACTGCTTATGTTTAATGATAAATGCCAGAAATTTCAAATAAATACAAGCACATGTTCTAACTCCCTCTTCACGGGATTTGTTTTAAAATCCAGAGTAGTGAGGTCTGCACACTTTATTTTGTCTTAATGGTGTATGTATTGTTATTATTAGTGCAGTTGGGGCACACCCCTCCACCAGTGGTAATCCTTCATGTTGGACTTTCGGTAGAGCAATTGGTTAACTTGTACATGAACAGGTTAGACCCCTAAATGGAAGGTGGCAGAGCAATACCCCATGTTTATACCCAACATGTAAAAGTCAGTTTGGTTGTGATTGGTGTTAATATACACAGTAATCTGCTGGACGTATTAAAATGGTAGAACCCTTGCAATTCCCAGTACACAATCCTGACCAATGTATGCCATTTTTGTTATTGAGCTTAGAGGCAAAGCAGGCTGCATACCACCAGGCTCCCCCATAACTGGCTGCACAGTTGGCACTGTAAATGTCCTGGTCCTTGTCCTTTGCTGTGAACTTCATATTGTCATGTGTGGTTCCAGCTGTAATGGAGGACATGGCATCTCCAGCAGTGCCAGTATAGCTGCCAAGGCGCAGCATGTAGCCATGAGCTTCATCGTCCACACTGAATAGGTTGTAATCGGCATACTTCTCTACGTTGTTTTGATCTAAGATGACAAAACGTACCTGATACACTTTCTGCTTGGTGATGTGGTGAAGGTACTCTGCCCCTAACCAATAGTCCTTTTCCACATTCCCAAACCCATATTTGTAGGTTGTCCAGGATTCATCCCAGGTCATCTCTGAGTTAAAGGAGTTCCTCTGAATGACGATCCAGCCTCCGCTGTAGGTAGTCATGTCACAGTAGACAACCAATGGGTGCAAGCCTTCCGGACGGATTACGTACACCCCATCTGACTTATATCGAGGTACCTCAAAGCAGTCTTTTGGATAATCTATAACAGTAATAGCACAGAAGGAACACACATTAATACAAAATAAATCCTACCTGTAACTTTACACATTCTAGGAAGATTTTATGTGACTTAGATTTTCCTTTAAGGTGATTTTTTACTCAATTTAAAATAAATTAATGTGAAATATAGGTAGGTCACTCAATCACAGTGCAAGAATTATTTATTTATTTATTTTTCAGGAACTGAAAGTTACCTGGGAAATTTGATATACATTTGCCAAAAAAATAAAAATATACTGCAGGTTATGACAAACTTGTATCGTTAAAAAAGGTTTTGGTAAATATTGTACGGGAGTACGTATTTCAAGCATTATCATTGAGTAATTTCATCAGTCCTCAGTCAGTAGTTCCATATTCAGCAATCAGTGTGTGCAAGAGGCCAAGTCAAATAATTGTTGGCAAACACGCTCTGTTCACTAAAAAGTTTCTGAATAGAGGTGAAGTACTGTATATTGAACATTATGTGACTTCAGTGGACTTCAGCACCATGGACAGCTACATAAATTGCAATGAGAGGTTTTTCTCTCTAAACCACTGTTTTCCAAACCAATCCTCAAGGTGCGCCTAAGGATTATCCTGTTTTGTCAAGGTGTTTTTTTTTTCTTTTTAAAAACACCATAGACACAACTTGGTAACCCCTAAATTCTGGACTGGTTGGTGTGCCTTGAGGACTGGTTTGGAGACCTCTATCTAAACTCTAGAGACTGAATTTGAAGTCAAAATTTGGAATGCAACGTAATTTAAAAAAATCATGTAAAAACAAAAATCCTTTTCTTCAAATTCATTAATTAATCAATAGAAACGCTTGCTAACTGCTTGAACTACCCCATGACATCAGGCGGAGACTCGCTAATAAACTGCAATAAATTAGACATTAATTGCTAGTTTTTGCATTAGCAGTAATGTATTTATCAAATAATGATAATGATAATAATTGCTACTGAATTTCAGAATGTAACCTTGTCAACATATTCACAAATTTTCACCATTTTAGCAGGATGGCTCACCTCACATTAAAATGATATGGTAATGTTTTCTTCTAACATACTATATCATGCATAGGGTATTATCTATGATTTATCAAATAACAAATACAAATCATTTTCACACAGGTTGAGGGAAGATTAAGGCCCTTCTCTTGATATTGAACAAAAATGCAGAAAATTGTTCACACATAAATCTGCCCCAAATTCATCTCAAATTATTCATCCTTGGACAATTTGTTTGTAACTAAAGTGTAAGAAAGCAGCCAAATTCCTGCAACTTCCAAAGCTATCTAGCTAGTTTTCCAACAAATATAGATAATTAGAATGTGCAAATTCATGAACAATAGCTGTATAGTTAACCAAACTGAATTTTAGCAACTAGCTGTTAGATTTTTTAATTGATTTTTTAACTAACTTATCATCTACGCCATGCTATACTTACTGTCATCCACCTGGTTGTCATCATTCCTTATTTTCCTGTGACCCTGATGGGCTGCAACAACACAGACAAAGGCAAGAAGACAGGGGAGACGTAGAATGACACCTAACAATGAGACAAAAAAAGATGTAATGCCAGCGATAATCTAAAAAATATAACTTAGCTCCATGTATATATTGAAGATCAAATAGGACATTAAAACATTGTAATAGTTAGTTACACATTTGTGAAAGCTTCCCTTCATTCTAGATATGTAAGGATAGAGCCTGAACTCCCATAAGTTGTCTGGAGTTAGACAGGGGCCCGGCTAAAGGTGGACCTCGATTAGCCAACAGTGAGACCAAAATATCTCCCTGCTTTACTTTGTGCTCCCTCACCTTCTATTGGGCAGGCTCCAATAGAAAAATATTTATCTAAAGCAATAAAGTCCTTGAGGAAAAACAAAATATATAAAGAAAACTATTTGCGTGTTCAGTTTATGTAAATGTTTATAGAATGTGAGGGGACATTAATATTTCATTCAGGTATTTTTGACATTGTCACATTCTGCAGAGCTGTATAATGAGATGATACTGTAGAGTGAATAAATAGCACTTTGATTAAAACAAATAAAACAGATAAACAAGTAAAAGCCTAAGTTAAACAAACACTACACTAGATTAGTCAAGAGCAGCTATATATAAATTGCAACTACATATACGCACAAGTCACTAATACTCATACAAATATGATCGAAACAGATAGTATGTAGAAAAACAAGGTCACTCAGAATCCAAATGCAAAGACCTCCACATATACACTACAGAGTATAATTATCATTGGACACAAACAAAACTTATTAGACACAAAAACATGCCTGCAGACTATCAGTCAAACAATCCGGTGATATAGAAACGATAAAAGATGTGA